ATAAAAAAAATCTTACATAAATAAAGGTTATACCGTTTAAAATTAAATTAAATTAAGTTTAAAATTATATATATAATTATAATTATTATATAAACATTTTTAATTTTTATTTTAAATATTATAAATAACGTTATAAGTTAATAATAATGTAATAAAATATATTATTATAAGTTAAATTAAACTAAATTAAATAAATTATCTCGTATAATGTAAAGTTTTTTTTCTTTTTTTTAAAAATAGTGTAAATTTTATATATTCGTTAAAAATTAAAAAAAATAAATAGTTAAATATTAAAACATTTATAATTAATATTATTTACGTTATATAATTTTAATTAATACGCGCGTTATATTAAAAAAAAGCTTAACGTTAATTCGAATACGTTTTAAATTATATTAAAATTTTATTATATACTTAATTAATTTTAATTATTTATAACTTAATTAATTTAACGTTTTAATTTTTTTAATTTAATTTAATTGAAAACGTTTAATTTAAATTATATGTTATTTTTTTTTTTAATTTTTAAACTTTTATTTAATTATAATATTTAAAGTTAAAAATTAATTATCACTTTAATCGATTTAAGTTAATTTTAACTTAGTTTAATTTCGATTATAAAACTTTAATTTAATTTTTTATTAATTTTAATGTAATTAAGTTTATTCGAAAACGCGTTATAAAAATAATTAAATTATTTTAATTATTAAACTTTTAAAAGTATTTTAAATGCGAAATAATTAATTAAAAATTTAACATTACGAAAAGATATAAATTTTAAAATTAAATTTAAAAGCTTAAATTACGGTATTTAATCTTTTATTTAATATATATAAGATAATATATATACGTTTTATTAGTGTTTTTTTAGTTTTATATAACGTAAATAATATTTATATATTTAATTATTTAAGCTTAATTTTAAAAATGCGGGGGTTTATCGATAAATATTTCGATTAATTAAAAAATACGCATTCGAATTTAAATTATATTATTAAAATAATAAAGTTTTTATAAAAGTTCGGTTTTAATTAATTAAAAAAATATTATAACTTTATATTATTAAACATAATTATAAAAACCGCATATTTATTAAATATTTATTTATTTTATCACTTTTTTTATTATATTTTTATTTATAAAAATTATTTTACGTTTAATCGAAAGAAAAATTAATAGTTAAATATTTATAAGATCGAAATTTAACTTATAAAGTTTTTATTAAGTTTATAAAAGTTTCGTTAACTTTTAATTTTAAAAATAAAATAAATAAAAAGCTTCGTTTATATATATACCGTATTTTTTATAATAAAAATAATTAAAAACTCCTCGCGTAATAACGTTATTATTTTTAAATTCTTTAATTTCGCCTCGTAATTTAAATAACATAAAGTAAAATAAATAATAATATAATAAGGGTTAATATAAAAGTTTAAAATAGTATTTTAAAATTAATATAATAATTTTTTAGGGTTTTAAAGTTCGTAATTTTTTTTTTTTTTTTTCGAAAGGGAAATTACGTTTTTATTTAATAATAATTTATTTAATAAACGTTAAAGTTACATTAAGTTTTAAACGTTTAATAATTTCGTATTAATTTTAATATATAACTTTTTTATATATTAATATATTTTTTTAATTAGTTATATTTTTAATAATATAATATATAATTATTTAATAATATTTATTTTAATATTAATAATATTTAACATTAATTCCCGTATAATAAATAATGCGTATACTTTTAATATAATTAGCTTTTTAATATTTATATTAAGTTCGGTTTATTTATTAAATAAACGTGTATATATAATCTTAATATATAACGGTAAATAATTATTATTTAAAAAAATAAATTATAATATTCATTTATAATAACTTATTTATTAAATAATTATATATTTAAAAGTTATTTATTTTATTAAAAAATATTTAAAATTAAAAAAACGTAAATTTAAGTTATTATTTAAAAGTAAAATCTTAAGCGTAAAAAAAGTTTATTAAATATTAATTTTTTTTTAAGTTAATAATTAAAAGTTTATAAAATTAAAATTAAGCTTATAAAATCCCCGCGAAGGTTTTATTTACGATTAATTTTAAAAGTAAAATAAATAAAAAACTTTATTTATATATATATTATATTTTTTATAAAAAGAGTAATTAAAAACTTTTCGCGTAATAATGTTATTATTTTTTAATTTTTTAGTTTTACCTTGTAATAAAGTTAATTATTATAATTTTTATTATTATTATTATTATTATTATAAAAAAGTTATAAAAATATAAAAAATAATATTTTTAATAAACTTAAAAAATGGTATTATATATTAATAGTAATATTTTAAAGTAATTAAATTTATATTTAACGTAATTTTTATTAAGTAAATACGTATTTAATTTTATTAATAATATTATTTTTTTTACGTTTCCTTTTTTTTCGCTTTCCGGTAAAAAAGATATAACATAAACCGTTATAACGCACGTTTAAGGATATAAGTTATTAAATAAGTTATAAAGATTTTATATTTAAGTGTAAAATGTAAAACTTAATTTAATATATTTAATATATTTTTAATAAAGCTTTAAGATAATTATATAAATAACGGTTTCTTAACGTTAATATTAATTATTATTATTATTATTATTTCGTTTAATAAAAGAAAAAAATTAAATTAAACACGTTAAATTAATAAATAACCTTTTTCGAAAATTAAATATTAACCGTAAAAAAAATAATATCGAAGATTTAAATAATAAATAAAGATATAAATAATAATTAATAAAAATCGTTCGATTTTTACTTAAATATTATTATACTTATAAGTTTTTTTAAATATTATTATATTTTATATTTAAATAAAATTTATTATTAAAATAAAATATATTTATTTTAAAATAAGTTAAAAATTTAATATAATAAACATTAATTTTTTTTAATTACTTTTTACGGATTAAGTGTTTAAAGTAAAAAATTTTATAACTTTAATATTTAATAATATTTATTTAAAAAAGGAAAAAAAATTCGAATATAAATAATTAAATAATTTACTTTCTTTTTAAAAGTTTATAGTTTTTTTTATAACGAAACGATTAATTTTATTAACGTTAACTCGCGTTAAGTTTCGAATAATTACTTAAATATAACGTTAAAATAAAAAAATTAATTAAATAAATAAATTATAAAATTCGAATATTAACGTAAAATTAAAAAATAAAGTAAAAAATAAGTAACATATAATATATATTTAATAAAAAATAAAAATAAGTTATATTTTTTTTTAAGTTTAATAAATATTTACTTATGTAGTTTTTATTTTATTTTTTCTTTTATTAATAAGTCGTAAAATTTAATAATAAAAGTTAGCGTCGTTTTTTCGTTTTAATTTATTAAATTAAAAACTTTATAAAATAAAAAATATTTTTATTTATAATAAGTATATATTTATTTAAATATTAAAAATATTATTATTAAATATTAATAACGTTTTATAAACTATAAAATATAATATAAATTTTATATATATTATTTATTTATATTATGTATATTTTAATATATTAATTAAATTAATAAGTTAACGGATACGAGCTTATGGTTTACCTTAAACAGTGGTGACATAAAAGGGGATCACGTGATTATACATATTAGTCTTATTATAAGTGTTGTATTGCGGATGAGTTAGTGACAAATTCGGTATTGTATGAATGAAATAGCTCATTCTGACGTCATTATGTATGAGTAAGTCATATAAATATGTGGTTTGCCGTTGAGGAATTCGAGAAAGGTCAGTTCATGATATGGATGGTTGCAAAGACGGACGTTTTGGTCCGAAAAGACCCGGGTTAGAATTCACTCGATTAGGTTAATGACCGAAAGGTGATTGGTGGAATATGTAGAAGGCTTTAACCGATCTTGGATTAGATCGCGTTATATAACACTTCTTATACCATGTACCTAGGTACCTTAGGACTAAACTTTATGCAGGATGTATGTCGGTTGCTTCAACCGAAAACTCGTGAGGCTTGGTCGTTTCTTGGTAAATTCGAGAAGCATCATTAGTCTATCGAGGGACTAATAAAGCTAATGTTCGAATTGGAAATTGCTAGAAAGATCCGTAGGTACCAATTGGAAATAAACTCATAGATGCAATGCATAAGAGAATTATCACCGAGTCACATCCATGGACGGGATAAGTCGAAGAGGTCGAAGAAGCAAAGCCTATCACCCAAGCCACCGCGCTTAGGTATTGTCAAATGGAAAGTGTGCACTACCTTGTCTATCGGCCCTATAGTCGAGATAATCTAGGACTCGCAAACAAAACTGAGACTCATAACTCATAATAAAAGAAATTCGATTTAGTTATATATTATTCTGTCGTACTGAATTGTCAGGTGAATGGTGTTTGTGTATCTTGTCTTCCAAGTTAGAAACCCAATAAGTCCTACATTGGTATTTTACTTGTGTGCAACTAGGTAGAACTTGGTTGACTTCTGTTCTGTTGATAGGTATGTGAAGGATGCTTCGTCAATGTTCCAGCCGCATCCAAGAGCCAGTTTGAAGCAATCGGTCCTATCTGCCCAACGCCGACAAGGGGCTCATCCATCGTCAAGTAGAAGATATAGTGAACTGAATGTATGAGGGTTTAATATACAAGTGCATAAACTCCATGGAAAAGTCTTGACTTAACAAGTTATAGCCGAGACTTGTGACATATAATATATCGTAACCTGATATTTGAATGACATGACGCAGAATATTTTCGCAGTGGCATGAAGAGAAAGGTGGTTCGTTAGCGGGAACTAAGGAACGATACATACTGCTATTAAGGTGGTACCAACTTCAGCCTGACTTTTGGATACCCGAAGATCCCCGCAAAGACCCGCTGAAAAAAGGACGAACAATTGCGTAGTTGGTCAGAAAAGACCAGAGCTCCTTGGAGGGGCAGAGGGGCTAGTTCTGGCCCGGCGGGGCTAGTTCCTAGTTCTTTCTGCTTTCTTGAGGGATTTCGCTGCTTTTGCATCGCGATTGCATCAAACAAAATTATATCGCCCAACCAGAAAGCGCGCCCGAGGGTGCAAATGATTAGATATAACATTTGATCATTCTACTTAATTCTCTATTTCTTCGTACTCCCTACTCCTTTAGGTATTCCCTTCTTCCTATCACAAATTGATAGTACAACCATTCAACTCGATCAATCAATCAAACACGCATCAGATTCGGCACCACTAGACATTTGAGCGAATCACAATTAATATAGACGACCCGTGCTGTCATCTTCTTGTGTTGCATCACCTCGCTCTTCGCTTCGCCTTGGGAAAACCTCATACCTCGACCTTTCATTACTACGACCACACCAATACCTATTTCACTACGAAATCCCCCACATCTCGATTAAGACCTACCGTATCGCATTTTATCTCGAACTCTTTACCGCAGTTGAATCGACGCGGCCCACCCTTCATCATCGCGACTCTCTAAACCAAATCCAACAAGCTCCCGACCTTTTGGTTATTTGAATATCAGAGACAACAACATGGGCTCCACAGACGGGAGCGAGTCTTCCTCTACCAACGACCGCCGGTTGCTCTTAATCTCTAACCGACTTCCTATTACGATAAAACGAAAGGATGAAGGCAACTACAGCTTCTCTATGTCATCTGGGGGTCTTGTCACTGGCCTGAGTGGTTTAAGCAAGACGACAAGCTTCCAATGGTACGGCTGGCCTGGTCTAGAAGTTCCCGAAGCCGAAATACCCACCGTTAAACAACAGCTAAAAGACCAATACAACGCTCACCCTATATTTGTCGATGACGAACTTGCAGATAAGCATTACAACGGCTTCTCCAGTGCGCATACCCCCTCCTATCTAATAATGTAAATTTGTTCGTTGGCTAATTTTAGTTCCACTCAAAAGATTCGATTCTTTGGCCCTTGTTCCACTACCATCCCGGCGAGATCACCTTCGACGAGAACGCGTGGGCAGCCTATAAAGAGGTTAATATGCTTTTTGCGAAGACTGTCCTGAAGGATGTTCAAGATGGAGACCTCATTTGGGTACACGATTATCACCTAATGCTCCTCCCCGAAATGCTACGTAACGAGCTAGGAGATAAGAAGGACGTGAAGATCGGTTTTTTCCTCCACACCCCATTCCCCAGCAGCGAAATCTACCGTATCCTCCCCGTCCGCGAAGCCTTGCTCGAAGGTCTCCTACAGTGCGACCTAATCGGCTTCCATACCTACGATTACGCCCGACATTTCCTCAGCTCGTGCTCACGTATTCTGGAGGCACCGACCACACCGAACGGGGTTGAGTACAGAGGGAGATTCGTAACGGTGGGCGCATTCCCGATTGGAATAGACCCCGATAAATTTGTCGAGGGCCTAAAGAAGCCGAACGTCCAGGAGCGAATTGCATCGTTATCTCGCAAGTTCGATGGTGTCAAGTTGATCGTTGGTGTCGACCGTCTCGACTACATCAAGGGTGTCCCGCAGAAACTACACGCGCTCGAGGTGTTCCTAACGGAACATCCAGAATGGATCGGCAAGATTGTGCTCGTGCAGGTTGCGGTACCATCTAGACAAGACGTCGAAGAATATCAGAACCTCAGAGCGGTCGTCAACGAGCTCGTTGGAAGAATCAATGGAAAATTCGGAACTGTCGAATTCATGCCTATCCACTTTCTGCACCAGAGCGTTCAATTTGACGAGCTCTGTGCTTTATACGCGGTCTCAGATGTCTGTCTCGTCAGCTCGACGCGAGATGGCATGAACCTCGTGTCATACGAGTACATTGCGACCCAACAGAACCGACATGGCGTCATGATCCTCTCCGAGTTTACCGGAGCCGCCCAATCGCTGAATGGAAGCTTGATTGTCAACCCCTGGAACACCGAGGAATTAGCGAATGCGATCCACGACGCAGTGACGATGTCTCCTGAGATGCGGGAAGCGAACTTCCGCAAGTTGGAGAGATACGTCTTCAAATACACCTCGGCATGGTGGGGTCAGAGCTTCGTGAACGAGTTGATCAAGGTCAATAGCGCTCATAGCCATGGCGTGGATAGTAAAGTTGGGCCGGATGCGAGACCGATACTAAGCAACGAGGTTGGCCGTGCCCTGTCGGGTGTCTTCGAGAGCGTGAAAGCGGCTACTAGTGCGGCCGCCCCCTCTGGTAGTGCCTTGGGATTACTGAAATAAAGAGTACAACGGTTAAGCCTCATCGAATGAAGATTGTCTCGGGATAGGGCGAAGAAAGTGGCTAGGATCAACTTGAGCTTCGATAATTGAGGATCTATAGAATATAACGAAGCGATGAACAAAGGAAAAGAAAGCATGTGATCGAGACAGGTCCAGGATGGAGTTCAAGGATTGATAGATATCGGCTAAGGGGTCTTGCAATTTTGGGTGGTAGACCCGTGCATACTTTGAGGAGTTAATATAATGCCTGTGTTGTACTTTGAAGCAAGACTACTGAGTACCTAGTACTCAACCTAACATGTCATCCATGATACCCTTGAGGTCGACTGAGGTGTCTGGTATCTACTAGCAATTGTTGTCTTTCGGACTTTAAACTGACATTTCTAGATCAAAGATAACGACGATTCGAGCCACGCCACATCGCGAGGCAAGATATTACTGACGCCACAATCGTGACTTCTCTTTCTCTGCACATACTCGTCGAAGGGCATTACCTGTCGACTATATTAAGAAACGTATGTTGAGGCATTTGATCTCTAGAGTCCTGAGATCCCCTCTGTTACGAGCGAAATTGTCGTTAGAAGTACAATGAATGATTTTCCAATTACGATCGTAAAAGTCTCCGAAGGAGGGCTGCATCGACACTTATCAATACGACGCTTACTAGACATGTTCAAAGGATGAAACTCCTGGCTCAGTTTACGCAAGCCTTCATTTCGATACGATTTACGAGCTATTATTTGCCACTCTTCTCTAAAGCTACGGTGAAAATAGAAATAAGATTGGTGTTTTCGTTTCAAGTTTATTAGGGGCGCGAGAACACGTACCGAGGATGGTGGGTTACATTCAGGGGCACGATGCAGGCGAACAGGGACCCAAAGACCCGGGCGACAGGCGCCTCCTCATGTAAGTATCCTATCCATGCTAGCTGTTTAGTGCAGCCGAGATGTCAAATGCAACGACGATCATCTCAAATCTCAAAGACTGTACTGTATCTCATCGAAAAACCCAACCTGCATTTAAAAAGAAGTGAAATTTTCTTCAATTGAAAATATACTGATAGCGTCTTTCTCTATGTACCAAACAATTCCGCTGGGTATAATTAATACGTAAATAAGGATTGTTGCTCCTGGGCTCTCCCTTTTCTATCAAGGTGTATCGTCGTCAGATGCGGTCGAAAGCCGCCCTTTGTTTTTGCTCTTCTCGCCCTAATAATAGCCCCCCGCCGCTTGCCGCCCCCAACGCCTGTATCCAATAAGAGGTAATAAGTACGGAGAATGTTAGGTTGGTAGGTAAGTAGGTAGGACGGCATCATCGAAATGAAAACCCGAGATGACCGTCGCGATAAATAAGGAACGTCTAAATCTAATATGTATATCTCTCACCACAGCCACGCGCTCGCTCGCCTAGTAATCGTATCGGTAGCACAGGTATCCGCCGAGGGTATCCATGACCTGGGAGACAGTAGTATTCGGCCGCAGCCCGTTAGAGGTGAGGACGTAGTCCATGGTGATGGGGGTGCACGGGTTATTCGCGTCGGCGCAGCCGTTGATGCTCTGCGTGCGCGAGGCGTCGCCGTTCTGCCAGATGCGGAACGAGTGGTCCACGAATAAATGGTGCATGAAGAATATCGGGTCGCCCGGAGACGCCTGCACTTCGGCCATCACGGCCCCGACGCCGTTGTGTCCGTACGCGTGCGGTCCGAGTTCTTGACACCCCCGCATGTCGTCGTAGGAGGTCCGCGAGTTGCAGTCCGATACGAAGGAGGAGGTTACGGTCCCCGTTAGACTCTCGTCTACGGCGCGCGCGAGACAGTGGTCTGTGAACCCGCTGCCGGGGCCGACGTGCAGTGTTGTCCCGCCGAAGGTGCCTGATTGGATGCATGTTCCCTGGCCATCCGACGTCTTCGCCGGTAAGGGTCCGAAGTACGCGTCTGTGAAGATGTCGGACTGTGCGAATTTGCCGGCGTCGAGGGTCTCGTCCCACCACGGGAACGCCCTGTCGAAGCCGCACTCCTCGCGCATGAGGGACTCGAACACGGATACGTAGTACCGGTGCCAGACGAGGAAGACGGCGCGTTGGTGGATTTGCGGTGTTAGTTGCTGGTGCACTGAGACGATGTCCTCGTAGCGGTTTTGCGCGCCTTGGAAGTTGCCCGATGACGGCTTGCCCATTAGACACTTAATGGCGTTGACGAAGGCCTTGCGGTCGTCAGCTGAGTAATTCCTCCATTCGAATCGGACTGCTGGGTTGTTACGGTCACATGTGCCGTCTGCGGCGGCGGTAGTGTCCTCGGTGGTGATCTCTTGGGCGGTTGCCGGGGCCTTGCTCGTCGTCGTCGTCTTCGATGACTTCTTGCCGGTGAACTGGGGCCCGTCGCCTAGAATGATCGACAGAGGTTGAGCCTCGGCGTGGGCTTGCTCGGGTGTGATGGTTGGGAAGCTGCCGAATTGCTTGAGGTCGATGAGCTGGAGTCGCTTCTCGACGGGGCTAGGGACTGCCAAAGCTGACACGACGACGGCACCACAGAGGGCCTGCGCGGATAGGTTAAACCGCATGGCGTCGATTAATCGCCCTCGAGAGCGGGATTATTACTATGTATTAGTGAACGTGGGTATAGACGATGCCAAGGCTCTAGAAACGACGATGAGATCCACGTAGATGAGATGAGATGAGATTAACGATCAAGCACAGAGCACAGGTTATTATTATATTATGAAGGGTGTGGAATGTATGTCAAGGTCACTATCCATCGTTGTGCGAAGGCTCGGGGTGGGCATCGTCTATATAATGTAGCAGTGTAGGTAAGTAATAGGTAAGGTGTGTAAGCAGGCAGTGGGTGAACAATTGACGATCGTTATAAAACGACTTCTCTTTGACGGTGCTTTTTTGGCAGCTGCTTTCAAAGGAAATGTTCCGAAAGATCCTAGGAGACGGGGACGTCATAGCTTCAACATGCGTGATTCGCAGAAACAGTGGGAACAGGACAAGAAGAATACTACGACCTTTGAGGTTAGGAAACCCCAGAGCGGTTATGATTCACTGGCGCTTGTGCCGAATGAGGCTGGGAGCTGAACCCCTGACCCGGCAAGGATATGGTTGAGATATGCGTACCATTGAGCGCCTAGCGAGCGCATGTTGCGTAGTATTGCAGGTAGTGTTAGTACTATGTACAGTATTAGGAGAGACTAACAGAGGTGTAGGGAAACGTAGCTGCGTAGGAGACATGTAGTCAGCTGCAAGCGTTGCAACAATACGAGATTCGGGGGTTGCTGGGGCGTCACCACGCATTTTTTTCGCATTTTTCGCATTTGCTTTGCTGGCAAAAATGTACCAAACTGCACCAAAATGCACAAAGCCATTTGCTATTCGGGTCTAGCGCTCGTCGATCACAGCCCTCTTCATTGTGTTACTTGGAAGCGGGGATACGACAGAGCGTGGTCTATTTGGGTCTTTTTTTATTCATTCTACTTTCTTTTTTAGACCATCGATTCTTTGCGTCAGACAATCCCTTTCACTTCGCTTCGGTTTACACGATATCTTGTCAGTGCCGTCTGGCCCGAGCCGGTTTAGTCTGATCCCTCTGATCACTGCTGGACGCGGTGCTGCCACATTGCGGGGTATAAACAGCATTTTTGTCCTTGTTACCCGTAAGTGGTTCACGAAGCCGTATTGGCTGGAGAGATGGTACGTTATGACGTTGGGAATAGCATGTTCCTTTAGTTGAGTTGTCCATCATATCTAACCCATTCGATAGACCTACATGACCTAGCAAACGAGCCTCGACCAAGTGTACCTGTGATGAGTAACATGTATTGACGGCACAGATTCTGCTGCATGTTGTATTTTCGGACTTTTATTTAATTAATTAAAGACCTGGCTTACGCCTTAGCGCCTCAACTCAAAAAATCCAAGACAAAAAATGGCCGAGGGATGGATGGATGGCCGCTATCCGAAAGACACCAAGAGCTGCAAGAGGTACTAGACGAAAGTTAAATCTACAGCAATAGGAGTGACCCCTGAGCATCCAGATGTGCCTGGATATGCCTCCAAAATACGATCAAACTAGGATGAAAACATCCTAGCTCGAGTTGAGTTGCATTATGAACCAATTCGCGAAATATTGCTGACAATTGTATGACGTTTACATAAAAATCTCACCGGCAGCAATTTATATGAGATGCATTAGCTGATTAGGGAGCTACCTGGTAGGTAACGAAGGATCGAGCAGCGAAATGTAACGTGAGATGGCTCGATATCCGACGAATGCATTGATTTCCTTACGCTGAAATGGGTAAGAACAAAGCTATTGAATGTGAATGGCTATTTGTTATTCTTTGTCACCGAATATCGTCACCACAAGCTTCTTACGTCGCATCCTCAGTGACAAGAAATCGACGCTAGCTCCGCCTTCGAAGCTGTTCTCCTGTTACGGTGCAGATCATCGCTAAATTTCGGTACTAATCGAGTCGACCCCGGCGCCCAATACACGGATACGGTCACCAGACACTTTGTTAACTCTTCTCCAAGGTCCTTCTCATGCGACATGACTTCATCAATCACTCTGTCGGGTTCAGCTACATACATACTCTATCTTAACAAGGAGAATAGTTCTGCTTACTGCGATCTAGGATTCTAGAGCTGTTTAAACGTCGATCTAACATTCGACGATGCCAAGAACTGTAGAGAGATCCCGTCCCCCGCCGTAACGGCCATAAACAGCGGGGTCGTTCATGAGCGGCGTGGGAGATTGCCGTATTCAGCCTCACTAACCATTCTAACCAACGAACTACTGTGGTTGGCCCTGGCCATGACCTACATAAGTTCGATTCTCACTTTATCTCAGAACACGAGCCTTAGGGCCATCCGAGTTTCCCGTCCAGCCAGTCTCGCCCCTCAATGACGCGGGAATTAATGCGGGAATGCTACGTGTAGCGTGTAGCGCAGTGATGATGACCGCATTTCACGCCTGCACTAGATGGGCATGGAAATTCGGTGTAAGAAAAGAGGAGAGGATTCATTATTTCTGCGTTACGCCCGTCGCCCTCACATCTGCAAATTGGTGAAATGTAAATAGAAGTGGCACGGCACGCTGTTAGGGTTTTGTCGCACCGCATATGATACAGACATACATGGTCTGCTCCACGTTCGGTCAACTCAATTGGCTCGTTTCCAGAGTCTCGGGACTCGACTCAAAATCCGGTCAATTTCTTCGTGTCCCGTCTTACGAGAGGTCGTTGCACCCTCCGCATCGTAAAAGCACTTCCGTTCACCCATTCGAGTCCACCCGCTTCGTCCGAACCTCGCAAAGTCCCTAGCTCTTTGTGATAGGCTACTATCTAGTGCCCGGAAGTCTTCGTCTTCTGACGTCTTATTAAAGTTGCTTCGCATTAGCATTAGGCGACCAAGTTGCCGTGGCCACAGGATTCATCGTAACAGCACAGCACGTATCCGCAGGAAGATCCCTAGCGCCCATGCCAACGTGTACATGCAGAGAGATTCTAGACCAGGTCCAGGGACCTAGGGCTGTTCAGAACGTGGCCAGCGATCGCAGCAACGTAAGCTTTTACGATCTGGAAATTTGATGTAGTACAACATTTCGAGATATCGCCAGCATAGCCATCCTCAACGTGGTAATCAAGACCCAAATAATAATAGGGGTATGCAGGTCCCCCATTAAGAACGGGTCAATCCGGCAGATTTTAAACTTATTGAAGTAGTGCAATCTCCACAATCGTTGGTGATAATGGTTTGGTGACGAATCCCTAATAGCTTAGGATCTAACGGCTGAACTATCTACTGCATGTTTCACACGCTTGATCCGCCCCGTCATACCCAACCCAAAAGAGACAAATACAAGACAATAATGTTCCTCGTAAAATTAAGCTGACTTAGTGACATTCCATAGTCTAACGACTCGTGTGTAACGAAAATACTTTACCAGAGCCTCAAGGGATACCGAATCATCGGGTACCCGAGAATATGGTCGGGTATTTTTAGTGTCACGTAGAAGGATATGCTCGGTGCCTATCGGAGGTAAGTGAACAGCGAAATCAGAATATACGGTATGCCCGAATTCGTGAAAGGCAAGAGAGTTGTTGAGGATTTCTTTGGTATGGGGCTCGTCAACCTTGACAATAGGTATCTCCATGACAACGGGAATAGGGCCGCAATATGAAGTGCAACGTTTCATGATATCAAAGAAACAACTTTCTATAATTAATCACAAAGGAAGTACCTGACATTCGACAGATTGCTTTAATATTGTTTTCTAGCAGGCTCATTGATAGGGTTGGTAGGTTGGGAACAATAGGATAAGGTCAAAGGATTAATTTTACAATAAGCCAGCATGATTCATCACCTTCCCCCAAACCAATATCACCGGTTCTGCATCCCATCCGGTGTTCTTACCTCAATATACCCTGAGAGTTATTCAAGTACCCGTACTCCCGGGATAAATGTTAACCAAAATGAGCAAAGCGAAACCCGAAAATCTCCATGAGATTCTGAAATATAATAGCTTTAATGAACTCCCGGATCCTAACCCACTACCGGAGCGCAAGATATTCTTACACCAAAGTAAGCCGTCTTACGAAGCATCTTCGAGTCATGACATCAAGGCAAATCGGTATGAAAAACGTTTAAGATTTGAATACGGCTGCTCGGAAGCCATCCCAGCAGAATTCGACCCAGAGTTATTAGAAGTTGATCTACAAGCACGGCTCCAGCTTAACGCTGAAAATGAGGACTTGGCCCCGGTTGACCCAGAGTATCAGTCAGGAGATGACGAACTATCTGAGCTCGGTGATAACGAAGACTACCAGAAATGTGAGCATATACCCAACCTTATTTACACCGAAGAACTAAATTATTCTTTCGAATCCCTCTCAGATGTATCAGTAACGGAGTCATTGGACTCCGACGAGTATCTTGATGAGTATGAGAATAATGCGATTATTAACGTTGCGATAGTAGAGAAAATTACACGGGTAAGTTGCCAAACCGTAGTTACCCCAACCGTTATCCGCCACTCGGTACCGGATGTTATCGTGCGTAAACCTGCACCACGGATTAAAACCGGATCGAAACCGCCGCTTTCCCGGAGCGCGTTCGCCCACGCCGGCTTGCCAAGCCCGGAAGATGGGTCCGCTGCAGCAAGGAGGTACCCTAAAGCGCCCCCGTACTTTCCGTATCAGAGTAAGGTAAGAAGAACTTAGTGTGCACGATTATTATATGTAGGAGGTAGGTTGGTAGACAGAAATTTTAGATCGGTCGGTAATCTTACTTCACATCGTAAGACGAACCTGCCAAAAATTAATAGAGTCGCGATGATAGCCCCTGATGTTCCCTGCAAACAATCCTGCGACATGCTAAGCTCAACAATTATTCTTTATCCAAGTCAAAGAAAATTAAATATTCTTTCTTTCCGATTTCCGCCCAAACATTTCAAGTCGTACTCTGTAAATGATGAGATGCTGCGGTAACGGTAGTGCTCACCTACCCAATACGGCAAGAACATGGCAATGACAGGGGTTCCAAAGGAGCGCCATGGACCCGGGAGATCGCCAAGCATCGTAATTGTAAACAGCGGCGATAAGATTAATCCTAGAAAACCCCCCAAATCCCCAATTCTTAGCACAAACATATCGCATCATCATTCACTAGTATACTCGGTGACAATCATCAGTCCAAGCCAAACAAACCAACATGTCGCGACCTCTCCTCCTCGGCATCGCCGCCCTAGCAAACACCATCCTCGCTCTCTCCGTCCCACCAACCTGGACCCTCCTCCCCACAAACAGCACCGCGCGCTTCCGCGGTCTATCCGCCGTATCCCGCACCACAGCCTGGGTCTCCGGGTCCAACAGCACAATCCTGCGCACCACCAACAGCGGATCCACCTGGGTCTCCGTCGGCCCGTCCACCGTCCCCGCGCTCGATTTCCGGGACATACAAGCGTGGTCCGCGGACACCGCTGTCGCGCTGTCCATCGGCGCGGGGAACGATTCGCGTATCTACACCACTGCTAACGGCGGTAGATCCTGGGTTCTGGCGTTCGTGAATGAAGACTTGGATGCGTTTTACGATTGTTTCGCGTTTGATAGTGGGGGGTATGGGATGGCGCTGAGTGACCCCGTAAACGGCAAGTTCCGACTTCTCGAGACGCGGGATGCGGGGCGGAGTTGGGGTGTTGTTAGCGATGCGGATATGCCGAGCGCGAGGGCGGGGGAGGCGGCGTTTGCGGCGAGTGGGACGTGTGTTGCGACGGCGGGGGGACGGTGGTATATTGCGTCTGGTGGGACCGATCCGGGGAGGGTGTTTAGGAGTGGGGATGGGAGGCGCTGGGATGTTTCTGATGCTGCTGTTGCTGGGGGGGAGGGGAAGGGGGTGTTTTCAGTGCAGTTTCGGGATGGGAGAGTTGGGATTGCGGTTGGTGGGGATTACGAGGCGCCTGAGGGGGATGGGGATAATGCGGCGTGGACTGGGGATGGGGGCGTCACTTGGGTGCCGGCTACTTCGTTCCCTGCTGGTTACCGCTCTGGGTCCGCGTGGGTTCCGGGGCGTTGGGGTGTGGCGCTTGCTGTTGGCCCGACGGGCTCAGATGTCACGTTTGATAGTGGTCGGAATTGGCATGTTTTCGATAATGGCAGTTTTGATAGCGTGGAGTGTATAAATGGGAATGTGTGTTGGGCATCTGGGGAGAATGGTAGGGTAGCACGTTTGGGTCTGTAAGAAGATAATCCATTTGCCAACCCGCCGATAGTACGCTATATGCTACAATAAGCTACAGGGATTACAGCGCTTCAAGCCCCTTATAAACCCCTATTGACAACAAGCTAGTTCCAGCGCACCCCATCTGAAAGTAGGTGGTAAGCCTTTAACAGGTTCAATTTTTATAGAAGTGTGGTAGCTATTGAGTGCTGTTTGCCCTAAATTTATAGTGCGCCCCTGTCGTAAAATAGGCCAACTTATCCTCTAAAGAACAGGGGTGACTTTTACAGCGAAATACCTAAGCAAGCACACTCTCAATGTCTTATGCACCTAGTTATATAAACTTCACGGTGCTACGGTCGAGCCGTTAACCAGTCGAACCCGCGTCCGCAATGTAAACCTAGGTACATTTATAAATATCAGCACTGATTTTTAACAAGGCAAGGAAATAAATTAAATCGTACATCTCATGGAGTTACTAGGTACAGAGCAACTGTTAGCAGAAGCACATATTAAAGATTCAAGTTTTAGGATTTACTCACCAGCCCCCGTTCTTTTGGATGGGGACTCTACATTTTGGACAACGCCTCGTAACTCGATGGACGGTCTGGTTCGATTCGATCTCTTCCTTCCTTAACCGCGCCTGGTGTTGTAAAGCCTCCTGGGCTTTTCTTTGCTCTTCCTCTAGTCGAACCCTCTCTTCTGCCCGCCTGCGTTCCTGCTCTATGCGTATGTTGTGAGCTCTTTGACTAGCCTTGGCAGCCTCTTCCTCTTGTAGCCATCTCCAGAATTCTTCGGCTTCCTCGTATTCTTGACGGGATCTCTTTCTATCAAGTTCTTGAACTCGGTAGACTTCTCTTTGTATCTGAACTTGGCTACGGAAGTGTTCGGGATCATCAAGGAATGCGTCGTACTCATCGCATGTATGTTCACTATGCCAGGGTATCCGATGACGGAAGCAAAATTGACGGTTGTCCCTGGGGCAATATACAATCGGTTGTTTATTTCCCGCATAATGAATCAGCCCCGATTCACATCCGAGTGGACACCATATGAAGTTTTCTGCCTTGGATACGAGGCTATCGATTTCACGTTTATGATATCTAGATATATAGGTACCTAAGTTATTGCCATAGAGTCATAAAGGGGGTGAATTGACGCATTTTAACTTACCGAGAGAATAACTCCTTATCAGCGAACTTTTGGATCTCGGCGAATCCCAATTCCTCTCTGCACTCGGGGCAACTAATCTTTTCTATAACATTATCTCTGATCTGAGAGTTGATAGATAATGAAACGCATCCGAGGCATAAAGTTGAAGCATGACTACAATCCCTTGTTAATGGATTTCGTCGGAATTCGGTTAGCGGCTTAGTCTCATAGCATACAGAGCATTCCGAAGTCTGAATAGAGGCCATCTTGGTAGATCACTAAAAAAAGCATCAACGCTCTCAATGCAATGTGAAATATTCTAGTTTTATTAGGTATCTAGTACCTACCTAGTCTAGTCCTTTATATGTGATTGCGCGGATATTATGCCAAAGGAATATCCTCATTTTTCTAAGGCATAGATATTCGAGGAGTTGACAACAATCACATCAGGGGTATATGTAAAGCTACTTGCCCGTCTCAAAGGTTGTAGTATATTCCTTTGGGGGTATTTGGATAGGTACCTAGGTACCTGAGGTAGGTAGGCAGGTACTTACTAGGTACCTCCCCGAGGCGCAACTACAGGGCAAGGAAACAATTACGTTGTTGCGCGAGGAGCTCTAAACTACTCTCATTAAGGAGAACACAGTTAGATGTATTATTGAGTAATTCTTTTCTTTCTTCAAGGAAACCACCACTTAGAGAAGTGAGTCGAAGTTGTGTTCTATATTTTTTTTCTATTGGTTTTCTTTCTAGTCCGTACCTAGTAGTAAATATTTAAGATCGATGATGAGAAAATCCATGCTGGGAAAATGATAAAGGGAGAAGGTATTTATGGGAAATAGGTAATGTACCAAGTATCTAGGTAGGTACCTGCCTATGTTGGATGACAAGACCTTCAAATATATCTTGGTGCTTTCCTATCTCTTACCTGCTAGGTACCTAGGTAGCGAGATCTACTAGACAAGTTTACCTTTGGAATATTCAGTACTATTCTATCTGTTGATTTGTTCTTAAGATTGAGATTTATTTGATTCATTTCTTTTGTCTTGGTCTACCTATAGTTAATACAGTGGAAATAACGAATTCCATTCTAAATCATGTATCTAGTAGTTACTGTTAAAAAAGAGTTTCAAAACTCCATAGGCTTGGTTCCGTAATTGTCCTAGATATTTCACCCCCCTACATGAACTATAGTAAATATCTTAGTTCTACCTATTCTATGTGCAGGCACAATAGTTCGTTCGAGAACTTTCTCAAGACAGTTCACAGATCCATCACTGTATATTAGGTAGACCCCGGCCTCTATCGTTAGACCCGAACGAGGAAGATATCAGAGTTACAACAAAACATCAAAATTCTATTCGGAGCATTACTATTACATTGGTAAAATGGAGACCCCAAACCAACGTGAACTAATTATCGGCATTGATTTCGGTAGCACCTATACAGGCATTGGATGGAGTGTACTCGAAAACGAGCATATATTCACAGTTCAGGAATGGCCAACACGTGGTGAGAGCGAAGGATCGATGATTTCCCCTAAAGTACCCACGAGGCTGAGGTATCTGGACGGCGGTGAATTCGAATGGGGCTATCAGATTCCTAATGACGCTCTGCCATGGGAAATTATGTCGCTATTTAAGAGGTGAGATACACCTATGGCCTTAATATTAGCGAATGTAGCTAACATACATGTGTAGGGGACTTGAACCTGGATCTCTCGTCTTTAGGGATGTCGACCAGAATATTACTGACTACCTCTCGCGAATCTTTGCATCCTTTATAAAGGCTGTGCCAATACATATAGGTATCGACATCTACAGTGGAAGGGCTGTATGTTTTGCTTTGACTGTGCCGACGATCTGGAGCGAACAAAGGAAACAAAGAATTATTCAGGCATTCGAGAGGATTCCGAACCTTCCACGAGGTCATTCAACCACTCTTCTCTCGGAGTCCGAGGCGGCTGCCACTGCCGCTCTTCGAGATCTCGCTCAGAATGACTTAGGCGTCAATGACTCTTTTGTACTTGTCGATGCTGGCGGTGATACCGTAGACCTTATTACATATACCATCACTTCCCTCACCCCTACACTCGAGATTGCCGAGACGACTGAGGGGACCAGTGACTTCTGCGGCTCATCACGACTAAATGACCGATTTATTAACTTCCTTGCATCGGGATTTCATAATGAAGAACACTGGGACGATCACGTATTACGCGAAGCTGTCGAATGCTTTGACAAGAAGGTAACCTACCTACCTAAGTTCCATTCGCCAATGTTATCTACCCAGTCTTCTTCAAACTCAACTAAACTGTTTAATCAAGATAAAACGTATGTTCGATATGAGCTCCCTAGCGCTGAACAGAGAATATATCGTACCTGTTCGCGGATTGAACGTCAATCCAGGCCTGGGAGTACATAATCCGGGTCGTCTGTCGCTCATGGCCGACCAAATACACCTAATCTTCGAACCCGACATAATAAGAATCATTCAGCTAGTCAAAGATCAAATAGCTATGGCCGCTGTACCTATTAAGAAGATTATCTTGGTTGGCGGCTACGGCTCGTCTATGTACCTCAGAGAGAGACTGCAAATTGCAATTCGGGAGGACTCATCTATCACGAATGATATCGAAATTCTACAGCCTCCAAACGGATGGGTCTCAGTTGTCAGGGGTGCAATAATGAAAGAAATATCCCTGGCCAAGGTAAGAAATTCTCGATGGCACTACTCTCGGACGCCTAGTCCTCTTCCTCGGATATCGAAACCTATCCCGTTGAGTCCTTCTGATTGCTAGCCCTGGGAGCAGGGCAGACAAAGAGCTTTACCTGTATGTATACAGTGTTCTCCATAGCGAGAGTAGTTAGGAGCTCCTCGCGCAACAAAGTCGTCGTTTCGTGGTCTTTTGGCTCCGCCTCGTGACAACTACGGCTACTGATGCAACAGGATTATGCATCACCCGAAAATTGCCCTAAGAAACTACCTACCGTTGTTGTCAATAAAGCTGAGTTGCCCTGAACCCCCCTGAGCTGTTGCTGCTTTAATCTGAGCTAAGGATGAGTCTCTGGCTCAGCCTCCTGTTCCTTGTTTTCGGCAACACCAGCTAAAGACTAAAGTTACCATTTTAAAAAAGTGAAAAAAAACACAGGGATCATAAGGGTCCTTACCTATTCTGGGCTCATACACTACCCCGGTAGGCATAGAGGCTTGTGATTTCGAATCCATTGGAGAATTCGAATCGGATAGTTCTCCGGCGAATCTTATGCTGGAATATTGCTGGAATATTAGGTGGCTGGGAGTCTACGCCCTGTACTCAAGGGGTATATATGTACTATCTACGAACCACAGGTACCTAGAACTAGCAACTTTACCAACTAGGTACCTACCTAATCAACCAATATGATACTCATAACCTGCATCTATTTCAACAGGCTCATCTCAGCTACCTGATGCAAACGCTTTTGAGCTGTCGCTACGCACGTGGAGAGACGCCTAGTCAAAGGCACCCAAGTCCATTGGACATAAATAAGCCTAAGACGTAAGGAATGTCTATGTACCAAAATTTTGGGGCCAGCAAAGAGGAAGCCGATTTCGTTACCAACTGTACAGTAACTATTCTTTGATATTCTTTATTCTGATATCGACATTGTTGGGGATAGAGTATTCGAAGGGGTTGGCCCGCCGGGTTATAAAATGCAGTCTCCCCGAAAGAAGGGGGCCCACCACTTGACCTATATCTCTTACCATGGTAGGAACTGAACTTCTGAAGATATGTCCCCTTTTCAGGCTTCCCTTTCGTCACGCTTTTCCCCTTTCGTTCATGGAGCGGCCCGTAAATAGCCGATGGATGGCGTTCTTCATCTCGGTGGCGTTCTCCTTCGTCTTGAAGGAAAGAGCCGCGGGAAGCGTCAATATTGTCACACGGGGATTGGTGCCAAGTAGGTATTGTTGGTATCAGAAGAGATACTGTTGGATGATTGTATATCATATCATGGGAGACACAACTGATCAGAAGGACACACCGATGCATGGAGGAGTCACGCATAAGAACCAACACGAGATTGTCGGGCGCTTAGGACCTAATGTAACTCTAACGCTCACTGGATAGATTGTTGTTGAATAGGAACGTAGAATTCAAGTCGAAGGTAGAAGAGAGGAACTACGGACCTTAGGACCCTAGAGAATTATTATATTGATTCAGAACACTACCTGTATTACAAGCCCTTGTCACAGGTGTATCAGCAACCTACTTTATTATCTGTACATTTTAGCTCAGTACGGGCAAAAAATGACTTGGGCTATTTACTCATCTTAAGGTTCTATTTGCACGTTGTATCCCACCTTAATGCAGTCCAGGACCGCCTTAGGACGGGACTGTCATCGATATCGGTGTCATTATCTTCGAACCCGTTCTGCTCTGCATGTTCCCTCCTTTCTTTTGCCGTTCGTTTTTTTTTTCATTCTTGAGGATCTTTAGCGATATTTGACGATCTAATGGTAAGTAGGTTACCTACCTAGTAGGTAAGAGCATATATGAATTAAAGTCACGTCCCTCTTGTAAGATAAATAATGATATAATGATCCTGACAAGAAACTTAGACCTATTAGCAAATTAAAAAATACGTGAGGTCCTTGTTGTAACATACCTACCTACCTAATAACCTTTAAAGCTCGGGCAAAAACGATAGGAGTTGGAGTTGGGGATTGTGTTACTTTACTTGCTTTAACATATCCAATTAACTTACAGTCTGATGGTTTCGACGGAGGTCGATAGTACATAGATCCGCCATCTCGCCATATCAATTTATCTACAGTATCCGCACAGTATTTTATCCACTAAATCCCCTATAATTATAGGGGACTTAGGGGATATTAGGTGCTAATCTTATAAGAGGATTAGCGCATTTTTATAGTGCATGATTTTTTAGCCAATCATATTGCGTGTTGAGATTGAGGCTTGAGTTTGGGGTGTCACATGATTTCTTGAAGCACAGGCCACACAACCATTTTCGGTCGAACCTTTTAGTATTTATTTAGAGCAATTATTTGAACCTTAGCCTTTTAATTAACTATAGAGCTTTTAAAACAAGGCTATTAATAGATATAATTATATAAACTAGTATAGAATTGAATAGGCTTTTTAATTATATTACTTTTGTTTTATAATATCTCGGATTAAAGCGTGCGTAACTGATTGAAGTTGAAGTATTTATATGTACCTTAGGCCATAAATTTTGATTGGCTGAAAGTCACTTACTATAATAGTGCCCTAATTCCTTTATAGGTCTAGTACCTAATATCCCCTAAGTCCCCTATAATTATAGGGGATTTAGTGGATAAAATACTGTGCGGATACTGTAGATAAATTGATATGGCGAGATGGCGGATCTATGTACTATCGACCAACGTAGGACGGATCTTGCGTCGAATTCTGCAGCCACAAAATATTACATGATTTATTAATTTCGGCAGTTCTTTCAAATTTTAATTGGATCTTGATACCGTTACTTAGATACGTAGTTGTGTACCTACCTACCTAGTATAGAGCTCTCACCTCATCTATTACTCCGGCTCCTTCTTTAGGATTATTCATTATTTTCTCTCACTACCTAGGTAAACAACACAGATCGCTCTTAGACAGATTCGCCAGCCCATCAAAACTAGACGCCTAAGTTCCCGGTCGCTTTTCAAATATGTCAACCAACTTGGGATCCGGATCTTCTTCCCCTGAATTTGTAAAGTTGCTTTCAATCGGCAAGTATCCTTAAAACGAAATATTCTTTCTACCAGGCGTAAATATTTCTAATGTACTTGGCCAACAGATGGAGGCGGAATTCGGGGTCTCTCCTCCCTTGTTCTTTTAGAACAGCTCATGGACAATGTCAATTTTCTAAGGGAACAAAGGGGCGAACGCGATGTTGAGCCGTGGGAGGTCTTCGACATGATTGGTGGCTGTAGCACTGGAGGGTGAGCTCTACTTTTCAAGTCTCTTCTATTCTATCATAAAATACTAATGTTATATTCCAGCTTGATAGCAGTTATGCTTGGTCGGTTGAGGATGTCTGTTGCTGAATGCAAGAATGCATATATTGGCCTTGCCAACAAGGCTTTCACTCCCGTAAACCTCTTGCAAAACATATCAGCAAAGGCATCCCTAGGCCCCAGATTCCGAACTGAATTTCTCGAAAGCGCGATCAAAGATGTTATTGGGGAAGATTGGGAACATGAGCTACTCAAGGAGGACAGGGCGAGATGCAAGGTGTAAGTTGATTCATTCTCCAACACATCGATCTTGCTAATTAATACCTACCTACCTACCTATCCAGTTTTGTTGCTGCTCATATCAGGGACATTGACGCGCCGGTTTGTCTGAGAAGTTACCGCAACATCAGACAGCCTTCTGCTAGGTGGGTTACGCTAACACCTTAGTACATTCAGGGTGGGATATACTAACGGATGCACTGTTATCATAGTCTTAATAGGATGCTCATGTGGGAGGCATGCCGTGCGACATCGGCCGCCCAAACATTCTTCGATAGCATCGTAGTCGATGGCGTCAACTATTCCGATGGTGGTTTACACTATAACAACCCCGTTCATCTTGTCCACAGCGAAGCTAGCAACGTGTTTGAGGGTCGACAGCAACTGATAATCAGCTTGGGGACCGGAAAGGCCGGCCCAGAAGAGTTCAATCCTAATCTGCTCACTATCGCCAAACAGTTGGCTCGCATAGCCACCGATACCGAGAAAGCTGCGAACGATTTCGCTCGTCAGCGGGGAGGCGAAGATGTTAGGAATAATAGATACTTCCGCTTCAATCTCGAGAATAACGGCAAGATTGGTATAGAGGAGGCTAAAAAAATCCGCACCATCGGGGTATTGACGGAACAGTATCTTGGAATGGAAGAGGTCTCACAGAAAGTAAGGTTGTGTGCTGAACAGCTTGCACTAGGTGCGTAAGATCCCAACGACGATATTCTCACAGGATGGTTTTCTATTGAAGATGCATGGAATTAGAAGAAGCGATGTAGTAATTATTAGTGATAAAAACTGAAATCTGCTACAAGATAAAAGTGTATACCTAACTGGGGTTATAAATGTGTTCACCGGATACAAATAGGAGCTAACTTGGTTTATCTACAGACTACACTCTGAATAAGAGGAGAAGATTTCAGAGTAAGCTGTTTCATAGCAGATGGTATTATTTACATTGTTTCTAACTGCAATCTCTCACTTTCAAGACCCTTTTAGATCCCAGGTGCTGGATTGGCTTTCATGCCTGACCTTCGCTCAAAAGCATCGAGATTTTCTCAATGAATGGCAGGATGGAACGGGAAACTGGTTTTTAGAACATACCGAGCTTACCCGCTGGAAAGAAGGGGAATATCAAACACTCTGGTGCCGTGGAGGACGTAAGTGCTTTCACGATTATGGTTAATATGAGTTTTAATGATTAACAAACGTATCTAGGTGGTGTAGGGAAGACCATTCTCATGTATGACCAGCTCACGTCTAATCTTCATCCTTATCCCTCATTCATACCTACCTTACAAGATTATTGTACCAATAATTTGACTGATTCTCTAGGGCTGCAACTACCGACAAACTTGAGAAGCAATTGCAGCAGCATGACGATGTGGCGATTGTACGGCTGTACCTATCGTACGGAGAAAAAGAACGGCAATCATCGGTAACACTACTCGCCTCATTACTTCGACAGCTCTCTGAGAATTCTCAGTATCTATCTTCGTCAGTTAGATCATGTTATGAAAATCACTTGGATGATGGAACCAGACCATTAGACCAAGAGTACAGTCAAATGATACTCTCAGAGGCGAGCCGTTTTGACAGGATCTACATCGTCATTGATGGATTAGATGAGTGTCACAATCAAACTCGGTTAGAACTCCTCGACGTGGTCAATAACTTGCTTAAATCATACCCTGGCGCTTCCTTGCTGATCAGTTCACGCCCAATCGATGCCATTAGAAAGAACTTGATGGACCCAGTGGAGCTGGAAATTAAAGCTACTATGGAAGATAGCAAAAAGTATATCGAGAGAAGATTGAAGAAGTCGGATGTATTAGGGACGATAATAGATAACGATCAGGGAACGATTCAAACACTCACAGACACTCTAATAGAGAAATCAGATGGAATGTAAGTCATTCCATTAACATTGTCTAAAGAAAATTAGCTTGGATGAATAATTCACTAATAGAGTGTAAGGTTTCTGCAATTGAAGTTGCAGATGAATCTACTTGATCAGGGCGAGCATCGAACGAAAGCCCAGCTCCGGGTAAAGTTAAAAAACCTGTCGGGGACTTTGGAGGATACTTACGAGGAAGTCTGGCGTTATATACAGCTTCAAGACCCTGGAGACATCAAACTGGCAAAAATGGTACTTACATGGATCTGTTATGCTCGCGAACCTCTAAGTGCGCGTGCACTTCCTCATGCGATACTGGCATTAAGCCATGAACACCTTACATTGATCGACAAAGATGACTTGGTGCATTTGCACCGACTGATCCAAGTGTGCAACGGGCTTGTCACCCTACAGGAAGAATCCCAGGTAGTTCGATTTGATCATTACACTGCACAGGAATTCTTCCCGCGATATCTAGCCGACAAACTTCCCAGGCCCTATTACAATATTACGAGAGCCTGTATCGACTACTTGTCTCTTGACATACTCGGTACCATGGAAGACATTGGACTTTCCCGCGGTTATGACCCCAATAATTACAACATCTTCGTCACCCATTACAACACGCTTATCCGTACTTATCCCTTATTGGGATACGCGGCTACGAACTGGGGACACCATTGCAGATCATATGAGACTCTTGAATGTCAAACACTAGATGTCGTTTTGCCGTTTATGTCGAAACAAGATCGCCTTCAGCTGGTCTCACTCATTGAAGCATATCGAAGATTCAACACCATGTCCAATACTCCAGTCTGCGAAAATAGATTGCATGTGGCTTCTTTCTTCGGATTGAAGCTTACTGCTAATCAAATCCTCAGAGAAAGCCCCGATGATCTAAACACAGTGGATGGGGCGGGTTGGTCTGCACTGAGATGGGCTTGCTTTGGGCGCCATCCTGACATGGTAGAATGTCTCATAGAGAAACAAGCAAACCCAGACCAGGCAGACATAAAGGGTCAAACGACCCTGATCTGGGCACTTGGAGAAAGAAAGACAAGATTTTACCATGGCAACGTACATCTTCAAGAGGGACATTCGGGGGCGCAGTACCAACTCTCACACTTCGTTTCCATCGACCTGGGAGCGTTCCGGGAAACATTTCTATCTTGCGAGAGTGAACACCCTTTGGAAACGACGGAAGAAATAGTGGGTATGTTGATTGATTCAACCAAAAACCTAGACCACAAGGATTCTTGTGGTCGAACAGCGTTATCGCACGCCGCGGAAAACCAGCAATTTAAAATCGTCGACACTCTCATTGAAAGAGGCGCGAATATCGACAATCAGGATAATGAGAATATGACGCCCCTCCTCTGGTCTCTCCAATCACCACGAAGATATCAGATTTTTGGTAATGTTCGAATTGAAAGTGGTGTTTCCGCCCATATAGGATATTATATAAATGTCCTTGGAAGACCTAGCATCCAAAAAAAGCCTAGCACAACATCGCTAAAGCCTACAAAGCGTCAGAGTGAGGCTGTGTGTAAGTTGATTGGGAACAAGGTTGATGCCACCGATTTCAATCAAAGGACTGCTTTGTCTCTTGCAGCAGAGGCTGGGCATGTTGAAGTGGTAGAATACCTACTTCAAAAAAAGGCCGATCCCAATAAGTATGATGGCTCTGAGAGGCATGAGGGCATGACTCCTCTCATGCGAGCTTCGCATGTCTTTCAGCCATGGAACAGTTCATTCGTCGACATCAGCATAGGAGAAAACGCACATTTTATGCTAGGGACTATCTTTAGACTAGAGGGCGATCAAAGCAATCCTCCTTTCCAAGAAGAGGACTTCCAGGATTTTCAACAGAGACGAATCAAGATAATCAACTTACTCGTAAACGGTGGAGCCGATATATTCCAACAAGCCAATTCTAATGGGATGTCTCCAAGGACTGCGATGGATTTCGCTAGAGAATCTGGGTGGCCAGAGATTGTTTTGGCTTTGAACAGATTGTCAAGAGCACCTGAGTCCCAATCTGGATCCTTGTCCCGCCTAACAGACCTACAAAGGACCTCGATTTCAATAGGATGTATGAGGTGCGAAGGGCCCGTTCTAGTAGGAAAGGCAACTCATATCGTCATAGGAGATTTTACATCTATGGCGTTATTACTACTAGAAAACGAAGCAAAGCTCAATGTTCGTGAAATGAACTTGAAAAGCGCTATTTTCAGGAGCGGTTCTCATATCATGGCCACAAATATGGATTCGAGAGGTACGATACTATTGGAAAACGAAGCACAGCTTAAAGTTGGTGAAATGGACTTGGAAAACGCCATTATCAGGAACAATTCTCATATCATGGCTACAAGCATAAATTTGAAGGGTACGATGCTATTAGAATACAAAACACGGTTCGAATTTACTCACATAAACTTGAAACACGCTATTTTCGAGAGCGATTCCTCTATCATGGCCACAAATATGTATATAAAGGATGCGATGTTCCTGAGAAACGAAGCACAGCTCGACGTTAGCGAAATGGACTTGGAAAATGATATTTCGAGGCGCGGTTCCTGTCTTCGTATCACACAGACGGATTCAAGGGGTACACTACAAACGGAAGAGACAGCACCCTCTATTGAGACGATCTTGAGGTCAGGGGGGGATTCAACGGGTGTACCAACAGGGAATTCAATTGGCGCCTTCGATGGAATATATGCAAATAAAGACGACAGGTCTTCACAAGTATTCTTTGGAACGTTTGGCGACGTCTTTGACTCTAAACTTCTCTCATTTTTGGACGGGTTTCGCCCACATATATATTTTGGAAACCTCGATATCAAGGTGGCATATGGTGTTATTGGGGATGTTTGGTTTACATCAGGTTGCATGCCGCAAATGTTGGATGAGCGGTTATGGAAGATAGTACAAGGTTAAGAGTGCCCGAGTGCCCGAGTTTAATGAGGGTAATTCTACGGGGAAAAGTTGATGGGGGGTCTTTTTTTTTTGACAGTGGTCTTTAAAAAAGGCTAAAAAAACTTTTCTTCGCAGAAAGCGGGTTTGAGGAGAAAATGGGGTTCGTTTTAAGGGAAAAGGAAGGTTGAGGAAAAAAGGCAATATCCGCCCGAAGGACCGGGAAAGTTTCCTTACGTTGAACAGGTTCTTCGAACCTGATCTAGTAGTCCAAAAGTCAGTTGAATGAATAGTTCGAAGATGAGTTGAAAGTGCCTAGTAAGTAAGTCGACATATTAATTAGGTAGTTAGGTAGTCAGTCCATCCTGGCCTGATCTCCTTTCGCAGGTTAGGCCAGGGACCTGACCTAGGACGAGACACTTTATGAGGTAATGAATTCAGCCTAGAAAAAAAGTGGCGGGTGGATTTGATTGGGTGTGTATTCGATCTCATCTCCTTTCTCCTCCCCTGCCCTTAGGACTGCTTAATCACCTTAGTCATCTCGATTTCGGGGCTTACTCTCTTTTGATTATATAAGACGTTGTCCCACTCCTTCTAAGGTCAGGGAACCTAACCTTGAACTAATCGAACACCGGATCTAGGGATTAATTTACTGATTTTTCAACCGATTATTAGACTGATCGAATATTCTATTACGTCATCTCCTACACCAGGTATCTCCCCGCTTTCTAATTGGGTGTATCTGTTGAAAGGTGGGTTTACGTTCTGTAGGCGGGGATAATCGGAAAACGCTAAAAGTAGCGGAAGAGAGAACGATTTAGCGCCGAAAACGTCGGAATTACCGCGACAGCGCGATGAGAAATCTTTAATAAAGACAACCGTCAAAAAAAAAACCGAAGAACTTTTTCGCGAACAATTATCCTCGTTAAACTCGAACACTCGGGCATGGCTAATCAGGTTAATCGAATAAGTTTCGACTGGACTGGCTGGAGCGCTGACTCAAGTTCCAGTCTACCAAGTCTTCACGCCGACAAGCCACCATCACCACGATCGAGTTGGCTTCAAAGGCCATTCACTTTGAGGCAAACAAATCCCGAGACATAAAGCTATCGAACCCGAACTATTTACTTCTTGCCATGGAGATACGAAGGTCCCGGCCAAAAGTTTGGACCATCAAGCCATATTCCTTGCCCAGTGTGTGATTAGATAAGCAAATATTTCATACCCGTGTATTAGGTTTAGGCTATAACCGCTCTTAATAGTGGTCTATTCACTAAATTCTAGTGGGTGATCGCTATAACTTAAGCCTATTTAAGGAGCTTAGATACTAGATAAAACGCCACACGGTGGGTGGGTATTTTAGTTCATACGACTTTCAGCCGTCAGCGCCCGTTGCATATGGTCCAAATTTTTGGTCCAAACCTTCGTAGTAGGATACCTTTCAAACGTAGTACCAATCATCTTAACTGTTGGTACTGTGTATATCTTCCGCTATAAGATTCACTCCGCTATTGTCATTATCGGTAAATATCACCCGCCACTTGCCAGCGGCCCTGGGGACGAAATCAACGAGCATCCGCTTACTTGGCAGAGGCAATGCTCTGCCGGCTGACACACCAATCGGTGCCGCTGGCCATTCACCCCCAGGGGGAACGACATCAACACGCACAAGGATCAAGGCCATCAGGGCCAGCATCTCGGTGCTAGCCAGATGCCGCCCCGGACATAGGACATGGCCGCCTCCGAAGCCCCGAAACGCAGCGGCCGGGTGTTTAGTGCCGGACTTGCGATAGCCCGTCTTCAAAAAGCGCGTGTGATCGAATTCGCCCACCGATGGGCCCCAAAGTGTCTCGTCGGTATGGAACATAACATTAGGCATGAGCACGGCGCCGCCCTTCTTCAACAGGCATTCGTCGCCGAGCAAGGTGTCTTCGTAGATAATGCGCAGCGAGGCCGCTGAGCCGTAGAACCTCATGACTTCCTGCAGGGTCGACACGAGCAGCGGGCATTCCGTCCTCACGCGCGCGAGGTCGATGGTGTACGTACCGTTTACCTCGTCTACCAGCCGCATGACTTCTTTCGAACAGTCCCTGAACACGACAGGATCGGACAGGACGGCCCAGACACACCAAAACGCACCCGGCGCCGTGTTGAAAGTCGCTGCGGCGACCTGCCCGACCTCTACCCGGGCCTTGTCCTCTAGGCTCAAGCCAGTGCTATCGCCAACTTTGTCCGTGAGTTGGACAAAAAGAGAGCCACCGTGGAGGTGTCTATCGTTGCCGAAATAGTCGACGAAAGCAACTACCAGGCGTTCCCTTGCCTTGCACGCGCTTCTCGCCAGGATATTCGGCAGAAAGCCGAGGAACAGCATCGGCAGTCCGGCTTCGAAGACGGCCCAGTCATCGAGGTTCTTCTCGGTACGGAAGGGGTTGTGGGGACCGTACATAGCATCCGTCGTGGCGTTGAATGTTGCGTCGTGGACGAATTCGTAAAGATCCACAGTCGTGCGGCCTCGTGCCTCGACTCGATCGAAAGCAGCGGCAAAAGTCTTGCTTGCGGATCGCGCGAGAGCATTCAGACTAGCGCCTGGTGCGCCGGCTTGGGCGGAGGCGCGTTGGTGACTGTGCAGGTAGCCGTCCTGCGCCAAGAGGTTGTTCCCGTAGATCTTGCTGATACCGGTTTGACTTACGCCGCATACCTTCTTGCATGTCTGGGCTTTCATAGGGGCGAAAGGGAGGGTATCGATGTGGCGGTCGACGCGCTGGAGAACCTCAAGCGAATTGACGATGTAGACTGGTACGCCCGGTATGTTCAGCTTGTAAATGGGCAGATGGGTCTCGTCTCTGCTCAGCTCATATCAGCATCAACAGCCTGCGGGGGCGATATGAGCTTTGGGATGTACCTCATTCGCTTATAGAATTTGTCCTGTTCGATCAGCATGCCGAAGAGGGGGCTGACATAGGGGATTGCGCCAACGATGGGCTTGGGTTCTCGGGAATCATGCCTAAGATAGACGAGGGCACGGAGGAAGGAATAGATGGCGGTGATAGCAATCGCCGCCAGGGCCAGAGCAGAGGGCATATTGGGCGCTCGGAATACGGACAATCTTGGGAGCAATCGAGCGAGCTGTATTACAGACGCTGAGCAGCAGTATCCAGTCGATCGAAAACATCAACAGAGACGAAGAGGGGGGAGAGGGATGGTGAAACAATGGATGATCGAGTGCAATGGTGTTAGTTGGTAGAGAAGTAGGTTGACACACACGAAATGTGCCGCACTATCGAGAGTGAAAGGAAATCCGTAGTGGCTCATTGGCTGTTATGCTACATCTTTGTTCTAACACTTGCCAAGAGGCAGGGGACGGGCATCTACAGCTCCCCTTACATCACCTAGGTAGTGGCGGGGTACCATATCCGCAGGTCGACAGCATGGGATGTGTTAAATGTTGGGCGATGCTAAAAGACAGAAACCCCGAAATAGGAAAGAAGGTGTTGAAGTAGGTATAGAAGAGATCCTTTTCGTCAACTGCATATGTAGATATCCATAGAAAATGCCACCAATATGAGGCCCAGTACCGTGACAAGGGCTAGTATTATAGGGTTTGGAATAACTTCAAATCCAACTAACAATTCTCTTAGATCCTACCAGGTAGGAATCTTATCCTTCGGTCTACCGAGGCCATCCTCATATTAGTCCAAATTTAGGTATTCCTGCGTAAGGGGACAAGGTCCCCCAACAGGGCCGCATGCTCTTGTGACGATTTATGCCTATTCATTCATTCATACCCAAACATCCGTATGTGCCGTGGCCCCTCGCCTTCAATTAAAGCACCCATAGCTCCTGGTGAGAACTCGATTAGGATCCGAGCGGCTATCGGAGGGCACAGGTTTGCTGTCTTCGGTCCTAAAAGATAACTTGAAAGCTGAGAACTTCGATTGCAAGAATTTTTCGCGCGTGAAATTCGCAAAGTCGATCGAGCAGGAGATGGCTAGGTAGGTACCTAGAAGAGATGATTTCATGTCGATAAGGCTACGAGGTAGATATATTGGTAAGATCGCGAACTTGGGAGATCAGGTTCCTGACCTGACCTAGAAAAGGAGCCTTGGATGACTACCTAATCATTGTACTATTAACCTATTAGTGGATATAAATATTCACCGTAATTGCTTACTTACCTCTACTTCTGAGCTGTTAGTTGAATATAGTCAGTTAAATTCAATATGGTCAGTTCCTTGACCTGAAGCAAGAGGCTGCGCTTATATAATCAACTCGTTTGCGAGCTGCCACGCGCCCTTATTGGCTGATCGGGCTCGGATTATTGTGCCGCCCAACGGATATGTCATATAATACGTATCACAAACATCGTACTTTATATTTTCAACCCAAGTTTACCTTTTATGAATTGGTTATCAATATTTTCATTTCATCATTTACCTAATATTCACTATGTCATACGACAAATATTCATCGGCGAACCCGGAAGTTTGGGAAGGTATAGTTCGTTGGGCAAAAGAAGAAATGAAGAAGATTCCTCAAGAAAGAAGAATCCAAGAAAACGACGGCGACAACAACGACGAAAGCCCGCAAAACCATAATGTCAATCATCAACCATCTTCCCCGCTGCCATCAACATTCGCTACCCCTCATGAAGCCTTTGAGGAAATGCCAAAATCCCAGGAATCGGATTTGTTTCTCGACTTTTGCTCCCCCAAGACTTCGTCTAATACCGGCATCCAGTCTCTTGACCCTCCAGCTGGCATAAGATTGCCTCCTGAATTAACAGCAGAACTATACGAACATATACGAACCCGTAATCTTCCAAAATCCCAAGAATCGCATGTTCCTTTCGACCATCGCTTCCCCAAGACTTCGTCTAATACCGGCATCCAGTCTCTTGACCCTCCAGCTGGCATAAGATTGCCTCCTGAATTAATGGCACAACTACACGAACCTATACGAGCCCGCAATCTTCCAAAGTCCCAGGAATCGGATTTGTTTCTCGACTTTTGCTCCCCCGATACTTCGTCTAATACCGGCATCCAGTTTCTTGACCCCCCTTTTGATTTAACAACACAACTCGAATATTTACGAACCTGTAATGCTCTAAGGTCGTCATCGTTGCTGTCATCACAAAAGATACAGTCATCGCCAAAGAGTTCGGCTGAAGCGGCACACAAAGGTAATACCCCACTTCACCGGCGGTACCAAATTTCTATCTAACAAGATTAGTGTTAGCGCCATCTAATGATGATCATCGATCGAGCCCACTAAGTATACGCACCCGCAAGCAATCCTTACCCCTTCCCCAGAACCATGGTATTCGAAAACCATCTTCTTTACCCCCGCCGGTTACCCATGCCATGAAGGACCAGTTCATGAAAGACCGGCTCACGAAGGAGGGACGTCAACCGACGGGAGAAGAGGAAAAGAACTCAGATCTCTCGGAGCTTGATGGGGATGGTTCTCCCTGTCGCCTGGAACTTGGCGCTCAAGATAATTGTCAGATTCACATTTCCTTTTAATATCTTTTTCTTTCGAATGCCTGGTGTCACGTGGATAGATCAGATTAGGTTCGTGTCAGGTGGTCTGTGCTAAATAGGTAGCTATCCAGTCTGTGCTTTGGAGATATTGTCAAAGTCTGGTTACTCACGTGATCTCCCTGAGACAAGAATAACTTTTCCTAAGAGTTTCTGTTTGAAATAATAGAGTTAGGTCATCAATTGAATGGTTCATTCCCGACTGACAATAATCAATCCGAAGGACATTATGTATTATGGGAAATCGTTAAGGATGTATTACTAAGAAATCGATATGCTTTTTGTCGCAATTAATTGGCTTAATTCCTCCTTAGCGCAACGCCAAAGTCTTGGCAAACCCTTAAATTCATCCGCGCACTTGATTGGGTGTATCTTTTTCAAATGATTATTTAGCTACAGTACTAGGTACGTATCTCAGGGGGGGGGGAGCTGTGGCCTCCCCCACGACAATCCAGTTGGTTAGGTACCTACCTACCCATATAAGCGGCACCCTCCTGCTCCAGGGTCAATAATACAAATGTTAGGCATGCAAGTCTCCTCTCCCAGGTGCACCTTTCAAAGGGTCTTTTGAGGAGGTCGATATCGGGAACGCTGGAGGTAGCGGATTCGACAGAGATTTAGCGCTGGAGATGTCGAAGTTACCTTGTTAAACCCGAGCATTAGGTACCCGCCATAGGGCCATTTGAGACCATGTTCCGCCTCTTGATCCCCGGCTGAGGACTTCTGTTCGTTGACGGGATACTACCTAGTACCCGATAGGCGTCTTTCTTTCCATTTCAGGTATTAGATCATCCCATCTACGGACGGGAAGCAGAGGAAGAATAAAAGCAATTCCTATAGAACTACGAACATGCAATAAGATGGCCCCTGCTGACTCATATTGGCTGTAGCTCACGTTCTGCCAGCTCTAACCGTCTCCGCGCCGCGCCGAAGCTACTAGGTAGGTAGCAAACCCTCCGTTTTGGTGGGACCCGGCTCACCGATTGCTCGGGACTTACTAGTATTAGAGAACATAGCGGATAAAGACCTCCTTTAGAGGTTTGAGGCTGACTATCACGAAATCTACCTACCTACTAGGACATCAAAGTATTGCAAAATCAGAGAAGGGGTAGAATATTCAAATATCGCGTTAGACGGGGCTACCTAAGTAGGCAACTACGGCGAGGGAAGAAATTGGCGAATATTTGGTGGCTTGAGACATACTCATATTTGTTGAGAGCATGGCGACGTCTACCAAGGATATAACGATTTGGTAAGCTCCGACGCGCATTTCTGGATAAGGTACAGGTAGCTACCTAGTCCCAGCAACCGACATCTACGGAAGACCTGAACTTGAAAATACATTCAGACGTAGCGCTCGGCCACGATACCAGTCCTATTCAAATACATATTGCTATGTAAGACACTTCAATCCCGTCACAGACACTGTCAAACCAAGTAGAAGCATCGATTTCAAAAGAGGACTCCGAGGGCGTGACGTCAATGGCCATGCGTACGTTGAACCTATGATCAAACCTGAACTTGGACACGCCGGCATACAACCTGGTCAGCTGCCACTGGCCGAGTTTCTTCTCCTTTATGCAGTGTTTCTTAGGCCACTTCGAGTTGTCGTCCTGGGACTTCTTGAAGCTCTCAAAGTTGAGCCGATCTGACTTGATATCGGGCGGGTCCTTGTCATAAGCGATCCACGATACCTCAGCGCTATTGAGCCACGCGTTGTGGACCGCCTCGACGCACATGTAAAAGCCATCTTGGTCCACATCTTCAGTGTAGACGTTGATGGAGTAGGGGTGGCCGGTTTCAAAGTCAAAGCCCCGCAGCCAGACCACCACGCCGGGCTTCTGCTTGAAGGGCCAATTGAATCTGATGTGGCTCCTGTATTCTTTATTCTTGTTCTCAGCCGCGTCGCTTATTAGGTCCGCTTTTTGGGTGACGTAGGAGCCCATCTGCAGCCTGTATGTGTACTTATCGATGAGCATGCAGGTGGCGCCGGCCGAGTACATGGTGGTGCCCTCTCTAGAGTCGAGATGCAAGTTGAAGGTGCTTTTGGTGCTCTGGTCCCACGACTCGGCGTAGGCGGAGAGGTGCAGGTTCTTCTTACCCTGCAGGTCAAAGTGCGTGATGCCAATGGCGAGTTCCAGCTCCTTCTTGAGAGGGTTTATGATCCTAACCTTCTTGACATTATCAGGCTCCGGCTTGAACCAATCCCTAGTTTCATTGGTATGGTAGGTCACCAGTTCAGTGGACATGATCGGCGGGTACGCCCTGCCAACCAGCATCTTGTCGAAGGGCGATAGCTCACGCGGCCAGTCTACTATCATCTCGGCTCCGGCGACCCATCCAGGAAGGATGGGATAGACCATGATGGATCTTTCATCGAACAGAGTCACTTCGAAAGCCTCCTTCTCAAACTTCTTGAAAATGTTGTTCTCTACCCACCCCTTGTCATACCCCGGGTCCAATTGCGCGTACCACTTAATGACAACCTCTTTGTTCCACTGAATATCCGCAACGGGATTGCAATGCTCATGAATGCACCCAAGCACATGACCTAGCTCATGTAGGGCTGTCCTCCTAAAGGTATTATTCGACAGATTGCCGCCCAATGTCATGGTTGGCTTATCCTTCGGCGCATTCTCGTGGTCGGGCTTGCCGACCCTTGACCACCCTCCATGTAGCCTATCATCGAAACAGACTCTAACCTGTGCGTCGAGTGAATCGTCAAAGACAAAGCATATGTTGGCATATTTTGCCCAGACTTTAGCGGCGTCCTCGAGAACGCGTTCGAGGGCGTCGTTCTTGTTAACAAAGCGAATGTGTATCGACTCTCCAGTCTCCCAGTACCACTTCTTTCCAATGGCCATGGACTGCCCTGAGTCGTCTCCTACTGGCCTGAGGTTGCTTGAAGGCAGGTCGGGGATGTGTGCCGAGGGCACCGGAAAACAGCAAACAGCCTGCAACTCCTCATTCTCGATTTCTGAAGTCATCTGAGGCTAAATCTTGCGGCAATGGGTTCAAATAGAAATACGTAGGGTAATTAATGGGTTTTAATTTACTGGAATTATGGGGTTTTCACTCTCTTTCATGGCTCTCTCTCTCTCTGTGTGTGTATCGAGTGTGCCCTAGTACCCAGAGAGTCTCAGAAGACAGCCCTAGGGGCAGCCACAGACAACCGATCAAATAAACGTCTTCATGCAAGCCGCCATCTTGCGCACACATTGCTTCTTCTAACCCCTCACTTAGAGTTACTATGTCTACGAAACTTGGTATTCGTAAACCCCATGTTTTCATCATTCACCAGATCTACGCTACATCAACTCTCTATACCTACCTACCTACGAAGCATCCCGCTTTCTATCTATTCATCAGGAATCCATATTCACCATGTCTTCCATGCCCCTAGTCTTTACCTCTGATGAGAAAGTCATAAGCACGACGGATTGGTATTCGAGTTTGACGGACGACATCTCCAAGTACGAGAACTGCTTTGTCAGACGCATCACCCACGTCAAGAATCTACGGTCTAGTGTGCTTCATGAGTATCTCCAGATCATCTTTGAGGACACCACCGGCAAGCAGAACCGTACTCGCGTCTTGGCCGAGCGTCAGACGGCGCAAGACCAGGTCATTATTGGGCGCTGGTCCTATGGTCTGAACCCATCGGCTAACAGATCGTCAAGCTCTGGTAGCTCCGGTTCTTGGGGTCGCGGCCTTGAGTTTTTCCAAGGTTCCTCTTCATCGTCCTCGTCTTCACCTGGAGGTAATCTTCCCCTCCCACTACTGTCGTTAACCTTCAAAGAAGACAAACTTGGGGTGATGCAGCTGGCCGCTATCCTCCAGAAGATCACAGTCAAGCTCGGAAAGTACAACTTTCTTCTGAGGAACTGTTACGTCTTCGCCTCCATGGTATACGATCTCGCGATGGTTAAGCACACTGGCAGCTCGCAAAGCTGGCCATACGCCTTCACAAAGGGTAGGTTGGCCCTCTGGGCCAAGATACACACCGGTTCAGGCGTAAGTTCCTACATTTCCGATACATACCCAATTTCTTCTACTTGTTTCATATGAAGAAAGTCTTCTGATATAGCTCGTATCTTTTTGATAGAAATCGGCGGGTGACTTCGAATCACTAAATAAATCCGAATGGCAATACGCCCCGGCCAACAAGTTTGAGGAGTCGCTCGGAAACTTCTGGAGCTCGGCGGTTGATCTTCTCCGTCAGGAGGGAATCGACTTAACCAACGAGGAGGCCCAGAAACTTAGTACTTCGTGCAAGATGTACGACCTTTCCGACGATGCCACCGCAGCAGCCCTGAAGGATGTAGATAAGAAGGAGGTTCGTTTTTCTTTGGTCACACACATTAGCAGTCTGTAATGATCATTACTCACACCCTTGCCAGCTAGATGAGCTGTATCGAGACACAGTCGACAAAGTCCTCGCGCAACCTGGCGTAGACGATTATCTCGCGACTTATCAGCGTTATGCAGACAGAATCCCGGTAAGCCGAATGAGCTTTGTGGAGTTGTGTGATAATGACCATACCACTAAATGCGTAACTATTTCAGGAGCCCACAGCGAATCAAAACCGCCCCGAGAACCTTCCTGGCATTGAAATCTACAAAGTTTCGGACGATCTCGAGCAGAAGAATGAAATGGTAATTAAAATTCTCGTGGGTGAAGTCCTCCAAGACCTTGAGAAGAATTGAGATGGACGATACACCTGAGTTATGGACCAACTATTGCAGGAAGGAGCCCCACATATGGGAAGGATAGTGGAGGCCCATGCGTTATACTGGAACTAGGGGCCCCAGGGTACAAAGGTACATCCTGAAGGCTGGATAGCCTCACTATCATTATTATATAAAGGGGCCAAGTCCCTGGATTTCAGTATGTTATTGTACTACGCAGTAGTCAACTTAGGCTTATAGTCACTCTTTGAAATCTTTAAGGTAGTCTCTCCTTAGAGCCTTCTAACGATAACCCTAACCTCCTTGTTATTACCTGCAAATCAAGACCCCGAAGGGATTGATCGTTACATATAACAAGGAAATATATAGAATAATACTAGCTATATTATTCTAGTGTTGCAATGTTGATACGTGATTCCCTTGGACAGCGAGAAGATAGTAAGAACGATAGTAAGGTTCACAATAATACAGAAGTTTTGATGGCAAAAGGTCTAAAAACTACATAGGTACCTAGATTTAGGTATATGAGAAGTTATGCTCTGATATATGTAGGTGCCTACCTACTAGGTATGTAGAGGTCCGTCTGATCTTATGCCTAGGATATCTTGATGTCTAACACTACACCAAATATCCTCTTAACTCCCGAGGTCGGTTCTAATTCATCCAAGCATTTTGAGCTTGAAATTTATGAGTCCATGACTAACAGAAGCCAGGGCGATAAATCTTGATCCAGGTAGAACATTGACATTTTGCCTGCTTCGCCCTTTTTCCAAAACACCAACAGTTGCTCCTTATTCACAACGAGACGTGCTCCTTTCGTGTCCCCTGTACGAAGGCAATTCGTAACCATCAGAGCCGGTATTAGTGAACATGCAATGTAAAGCTCCCCGCCAAGTTTTTCTTTGTCTTCCACTTCATCAACGTTAAATTTGCGGAATTCGTCAAGGCCATTCACGCAGTCAAAATCGTCCAACCGCTGAATGTCACCTTTAAAATAACGTCCTGGGCGAAGTGTATTTACTTCCAAGGAGTAGTTATGAATCGAAGTAAAAAATCCGTGTTGAAGTTTCAAAGCTGGATCGATTATCCTGGTCGAGATCTGATTCAAAAAGACATTCTGATCGCGATCTTGGATAATGAACCTCAGCATACGTGACAAGCGCTCTAAAAGCCAATTCCTATGCTTAAGCTGTGCCTCTTTAACATCGGGTTGCTCTAGCAAAGCATGCATGGTTTGTCGCTTCCAGCTATTTGCGGCAAATTCATCTAGAAACCCTCGTTAGTATCTCGTCTTGCAAGGGAAGGAAATATTTTCTTACCAGCGCTTTGCCCTGTAGGATGATTCTTCAAAGTATTGCCCACAGTTTCTACCATTTTGGCGTATTTAGGATGAATGATAGAGAATCCACCTGCAAATGCATCACTGATGAATCTGAGAATACATGAAATAATGATTTCTGAACTGATCTCAGTGTTGGACAAACTATATGCTGTGTCGTAGAGATCTTTGCATTCCATTAAGTAATCTTTAAATGCCCTCATGTGCTGCTTATTCATGGAGGCCCAAAAAATAGACTCGTCTCGGAGGTCTAGGGACTCGTTCAACTGAGCGATCCGGCTCTCGATAATATCTTTAACATTAGCAACCAGACCCGAATATTGCTAAATGTTGGTTAGCTTCAACTTATAATGGGTACCTAGGTAGGTAGGTATTTTAGTAATACGTACGTCACTTAATTCCTTGGGTGTAGTTTCTATGTCATAAGACGTGAAACTGGAAAGGCGATCCTTTACCTCGTCAAGGTCAACGTTAAGTTTCGCGATCGCTTCGTCTTTTTCCTTGGCGTCGGATAGGAGTTTCTCATTCTCTCTATCTCTATCAGCAGCTTTGGCAAGAAGCGCTTTGTTACGATCTTTTTTACCCTTAATGTCAAGAAGAAGCTTCGTCTTCTCTTTGACGAGATTTTTCAACTTTTCTTCAATTGTCTTTTTGTCTTCCCTCAACTCGTCAATGATTTCCATTAATGCAGCACCTCGGGGGATTACTTCTCCCAACTTTTCGTCCAACCTCTTGTTCTCCTGCTCAAGTTGTCGGATATTTTGTTCCAATTGATTAGCGATATCAAAGCTGCTCCCAAGCAATTCATCCCTCTCATTTAAGACATCCGGGAGTTTAGAATTTTGGCCATCCATCTTCCTAGATCAGGTATCAGATAGGTACTAGGTAGCTATATATCTTTTTTCGTATTCCGAACAGGCGTCGATATTCAGACACTACAAAGTACCGCTACCGTAGAGAAGTCGATTACAAGAAATTTATTGACTTCAAGATCTGAATGGCTTAGGGTGCCTCAAATCGTAGTACTTCCACACCGTTATATGTACTCCGTAGCAACGAATTTGCGGACGTGCCTACCTATTCTCCTGGAGTTTCATCATTACCAGGCACATAGGCACCTTTCAACTCGTGGATAGGCACATAGTTGTTTCTATACTCCCTTGTCCCCCCAAATCATATATTTCCCTAGAAAGGAATGGATATTTCTAAACCAAGAAAAGGAGACCTACCTAAGCAAATACCTGAGAGACTGAATTGCCTCAATTCATTTCTCTTTGTCGTAAATTAAATTCTATACCTATCTATAATCTAAGAGAAAACTGCCTATCAGGCAGCGCGAGTCAGGCCACAACTATCCTCTGGCGTCTTTTGTTCGACGTTAAGGCTCAATAGATAGATATTCTAGAACGACGTTATTGAAACTAGAAGCGAGCCTAGAGAAAATCATTCTAGAACAATCACCATCGTATACTTATGTACGTATGTAAATACTAAAATACAAGTCTTCTAGATTCCGCAGCGCCATCTGATTGGTTCCCGAAAGTTCGCCATCTACAGCGACCGTCGTCTTGGCAGGAGATAGGAATCCAAACGGACATGGATGGCATATGAAGATCATCCCCGGACTCCGGTGAGACTGCGGAGTCCCCTGCAAGTAGCATCGGTGCGACTGGTAGCTGAGCACTCTAGCGGTGCCGTTATCTGCATATCGGGAGCGGCCGACTTCGAAAGCAGTAAAGCGCGGGATGCGGTGACATTAGCATCTTAGCAATCCCAAGCAAATCTCGAGATAAGAAATCCAGCCAATGCTCGACTACTATCTTAACTCGATCCGGTTGCGCCGATATGATATGATATGGCTTATGATATGACTCCTTCCAAACTTTTCTTGGAAGTCATTCCCGACCTGGAGAGCTAAGCCCAATGGCCATGTGCGCGCCCTGCAGGAAACACGCCTTGGGTCGCGAAAAATGACAATCCCATATTACGCAGTCATGCATACACATAGATAAGGTGCTCTTCCCCAATATGCGGCTCTATATATAAGGCGAGGTGCATATCCCAATCCGGTTTTTACCTTGTTCACCAGGCGCGGCTCATTACACTTCCAGCGGTATTGCTCAATTCACGATGGTGTCATTCAAGTTCCTATCTCTCGTCTGCACGGCATCCTATGCCTTAGGATCGCCTCTGCCTCCCCTCGCGGAACCCATTCTAGCCGTCCGAGCCAACACCGTTACCTACAACGCCAGTCTACCTAATGTGACGATCTTCGCAACCGGAGGAACAATTGCCGGAGCGGCAAGCTCCAGCGGCCAAACCACGGGATACCAGGCCGGCGCGGTCGGCATCGCAGCACTGCTCGAAGCCGTCCCGGAGATTGTGAACATCTCCAACGTGCAGGGCGTGCAAGTAGCCTCAGTCGGATCCGAAAGCATTACGCCATCGATCCTTCTGAACCTGACGCAGCTTATCCAGAAGGAGCTCGACAGCCCCTACTGCCAGGGCGTCGTCATCACACACGGCACCGACACGCTCGAGGAATCCGCATTCTTCCTCGACCTAACCATCCGATCCGAGAAGCCCGTCGTTTTCGTCGGTGCCATGCGTCCCTCCACCGCCATCAGCGCCGACGGTCCCATCAACCTCCTCGAAGCAGTGACTTTAGCCGCGGACCCAGCAGCGAAGGGCCGAGGCGCCATGATCGTGCTGAACGACCGCATCGCCAACGCGTACTTCACGACCAAGACCAACGCGAATGCGCTCGACACCTTCAAGGCGACTGAACAGGGTTTCCTGGGCTTCTTCATCAACATCAAGCCCAAGTTCTACTACCACCCGGCGCTGCCCTTGGACAAGCCGTATTTCGACCTCTCGGGCGTCAAGAGCGGCGCCGAGTTGCCCCAAGTCGACATCATCTACGGGTACCAGGCGCTGAACCCCGCTATCGCAACAGCTGCTGTCGCGAGTGGCGCCAAGGGCCTTGTGCTTGCGGGTATGGGCGCGGGAGGCTGGACTGATGGTGGAAACGATGCCATCGAGGCGCTCATCAAGACGAATAAGACGCCTGTGATCTACTCGCGACGTACGATGGACGGATACGTCGAGCCGACCGGGTCGTTTGGAATCGGTGGTGGTTTCTTGAACCCCCAGAAGGCGCGTATTATGCTGCAGTTAGCTCTGCATGCTGGATACGGCGAGGCCCAGTTGAAGACGATATTCGAGTATTATGGATAGATTATGGACGATAAACGATAGACGGAACCTGTCTTCCAATGATAATGAATAATAAATAATTGATTGTCACGAACCCGATTGTTGCGCCGTGGATGCATCTTAGTATGTTATGTTGCCCGTAACGCCGTACTTATTATGATCTAAATCGCCGAAAACCCAGTGCAGTATCTATCCAGTTAAGTATCGTAACATTCTAGTAAAACATAATTACCAAGCCAATTACCAATATGAGCTGTTGTGCTATGTTAAACAATCCTGGTGTGAGGACAGACCTCAGTTTCGTTCCCGCGGACTTTTTATCCGACGTGCCGGCGGCCGAAATCGAGTCAGGGTTGATGCTCACGGTGCTCTTCACCGCAGTAGTCAGGGAGCCATTGGCAAAGTCCGATGCCCTCCAATCCGACCAGTCGTGGGTCAATAAACCCCAGCTCTCATCGCGATCCTTAGTACCCTCGCGAATATAGTAGCTTCCGCCAATCTGCCAGATCATCCAACCAGCGTTCTTGGTAGAGATGTAATTTAACAAGCATTTGACGTAAGGGTCTTGCGCCGCCGTTCCGTTCTGTTCGAGACCAAATTCCGTTAAGACGACTGGAAACTTGTTCTTGGCGTCGCTCGTCAAGGCCACGAATCCATCGTTAGACAACTCGCTTCCCACGGTATTGCAATCGCTCGGGCCGGGTCCAAAGATGTTATCGTACGCATGTAACTCGAGAACCAGCTTGTTTGCATAGCCTGAAAAGTCATCCTTGTTAAAAGTAGCGGATCCTGGGGTAAGCGCGGAGCCATTGACCACAACACTCAAATCCTGATCCGAGGCGAGGCCCGAGAGGAATACCAGAACATCTCCGTTAGCGCTGTGGATGGCGTCTGCGCCCTCCTTGACGTATTTGTACCAATTCTCCCAGTTGTAATTTGCAGCCGCGAATGTGAAATTGCTTAGCGGTGAGCGCAGCTCGTTTCGCAATGACATAGACATGAGATTTGACCATGATTTTCCCTAATTAACGTTAATACCAGTGTCCTGGTTGCAGTGGGGGTATACAGACATGTGTCGCCATAAAAGACAAGCTCCTAGTCCAGTTCGCAACATCGAAGTACTGATCTCCCCACCAAGCATTGCCATCAAGCGGGCTACAACACCACCCCGCTTTCGAGATATGGTTGTCCAAGTGAACGTAAATCTCATGTTTCGCGCACGCCGCCGCAATGGCATCATAAACTTGTAACCTCGTAGTCGACTCATTGAAAGTCGGATTATTAGTAAGAATCTTATTAAACACCGAAGTGCCATCCTCCTGACCCAAAACATCCGTAAGCGCTTTCCGAATCGTGATATCCGTCTGTCCGTTTTCGTAGTATTCATCTATCATCTCGGTCGCATATGTGAGTCGCAAAGCGTTCATCCCTAAGCTTGCGATCCGAAGCACTATCGATTCGACGGATTGGTACTGCAGACCCTCGGGAATCATAGTGTCGAGCGATCCGGGCCAATTCGCCCCCACGTAGGTGACGGTTGTGCCGGAGGCATCCTGAATCCATCGGCCCGAGGTGACGAACGGACCGTTCGGCCACGCGAGTGTCCCGGCGATCGTGAGAAGGAACGGCAGCCAGTACCGTTGCCCAAACCTTGCCATACTAAACGAGTGACGGGTGTTGGATATTATGAAGTTGTTAAGTTCAAGTTCAGGTGTAAAACAAGTTCCGAGTCGGACATTGATTTACGTATTCGTCTGGTGGCCACCAACGCATAAAAGTTTCGGCGGCGGGCGTGTTTCGTATTAAGAGAGCCAAGGATAGTGGCATGCCTTCTGTAGCTTGTTTTATTGGATGCCAGTTCACGATTTTCAGTGGGGTTGGTCGTAGCGAGCGCTACCGTTCCGTAGATCGACTGATCTAAGGAGTTTAGGTGACGTGCAGCTCGTATTTCCTTCGCTTTTCCATCTGCCATCTCGTAGATTTCGTAACATGCTGTCTTTGGAGTATCGATTATAGTGTAGCAGTGAAAACTGTTGATGTACTAATTAAGAAGGTATGAGAAGGTATGAGACAATTATTTGAAAGTATAATTGTTTGACATTTTGATTGGTTTATTAGTGGAGTGCTTTGTCATCTGATAGGTACCTCTAGTTCAGGTATCACAGGGGTTAACCTGCTGGAAGGTCCAGTGCTACAGCCTTTTAAATCTTTCGATTTCCGAGTAGCGCATTTTCTTGTCTTTCCAAGTTTACATCCATATTTTTGAACATCGTACAATAATAGTACTCATAGTTGGCATCGCAAATGAGCCATACTCAATCATCTATCTCATATAACCGACAAATCAGCTACTAGCTAATTACTAGGGTATTATCCTTTCATCATATAATCAACCACCTGCATTGCCGTTCTGCAATCAGGCCGAGATCGAGAGGTTCCGAATGAGCGATGTTCAGCCAGGACGTAACCTGTGACGACAACAGCATGTACGGAATATCTTTGTAACGATTGATACGAATTAGCAGGAGCATGGGTTTAATGGGAGAGGAATACTCACTCTGCTAGCCTTCCCTCCCCAACTGCATTGTATTGCATGGTGGATGGGTTTCGGGAGAATAGGTTAAACAGCAGAAACGGTATCGACATCTTCCCAGAGATATGAGTCCGCAAAAATCCAAGGGCCATTTACAAATACTTGCGCGAGTTATTTCAACGTATGAGATGGTATCCCAAGGGGTTCCAAGTTATGAATTGTGAGCAAGGCGAATCTCGTCACGGTGGCCATCCAATATCGAAATTTAGCAGATCCGCAGCTCCGGTTGCCGCAGGAAATATATTTGCCTCGGTATAATCCGGAATCACTCCGAATTGCGACATATCTAAAGAGTTGAGTATTTCCGTATGCTTTTGAGAGGGATCCATCGAGAGATCCTCTGATAGGTTTGTAGACCAGTCCATCATGGATTGGGTGTGGTGTTCGGGTTCACCATGGGCCTGAAATGCGGTCGCCCCCCTCCCTGTATTCTCTTCTATACTGAAAACATTATCTATGCGCTGGGTATTATCTTTGACATGTTTCTTTTCGTCGGGACTAGAATTTGTAGGGTCGCTTCCAGGTGGATTTTCCGTCTTATATCTCTCCGTCGTTTTAGAGTAGTCAATATGCAGCGCAATGCCTGAGTCAACGGTCGGTGACGAGCGAAGGCTTTGGGTGGCGCTCCTTTGTTCGGTCGCAGCGCTGTCAGCCGTCCACTGGTCAATAATAAGTTGCAACCCCTCCCCAAGTATTTCCTTGTTGAAAGTTGCTAAATCTCTCTCTTCGTTAGGGAGATTTGAAATCGTCATCCCTCTAGTTTCTAAAAACTCAGCTAGAAGAGCTGGTCCCCGGGCTGTCATGAAGTCCTGGAAAACGCATAAATCCTCTGACAGCTCTCTATCGCGGTAGGGCGTCTTGGGGCGTGGATGTGGAGAAAAAAGGGCATCCCAGACGGCAAACCACTGTTGGTCCTCCGAAAGCTTAGAAGATACCCTATGTTTAAGTTCTTTCCTCTGCTTCTCTGAGACGCCTTCTATTTTAATAGAAGGGCGGCGAGTGCAACTCTGAGATCGGATGTGAGCATCCTTCTCATCTTCGTCGTCGAATATTTCGTTACATATTGGGCAACATATCGGTTTACGGTGGCAACGATCCAGATGTTGCTTGACATCGCGGACCCTACCAAGAAAATACCCGTAGCAGCGCCGATATCGTACCGGATCCTTTTTCGCATATGGACAAGCAAGCCAGAGCCGTCGATCCTGCGTTCGCCGTTTAGTGCCTGCTCTCTGGCTTTTCTTTTCCCCGGCAGCTGTGGAGGCGCAATCCGACAAACGGCCGCGTTTTCGTGGACGGTCATTCGCATCATTCTCGTGGTCAACTGGTTCAATTGATGCTTCAATGTTGTCAATTGCTTCGACATTCTCGTCTTGTTGATACCCCCGCTCATTGGCCTGCATATAAGCTGCCATTGCCACCTGCAGGAATGAATCCTTCAACTTAAATAACGGGTGCTCTTCTTCAATGTTTGGTGTATCGGCGGAACAAATTGAGTATGGGGTTTCGGTATCTTCGGCTGACCATAAGTTTGTAGTCTCATATCCAGACCGACCCATCGTTTTGTGACAACGAACGCCTTACGAATAGAGTCACACAGACTAGGCCATGTTTTGAACATCATCAAAACATCCCACGTGACGATATTATATTCATACGGAACCAGATATTACACCATCCTAAGAACCATGGCTTACGATGGTAATGATCCTGCCAGAAAATAAGTGCAGGAAATCGACAACTCCTCATTCTACCTTTAATGATGCGGCTCGTGTCGATATCATGCAGAGCAATGCAGAGCACTACAGTGCTCTTCATGCATGCATGTTCTTGTGACCCGAACATTGGCTCCGATCATTGGACGGCCGCTCGTTCGCACTACATGAGTAGGTTGCCTTCAATCAGAACCGGGAGCGGGACCGTCCGAGGAGAGCCGCGCCCCAGCGTATGTTGTGCCATTGTCGCCAGAAAGCCAGTCATCTCGATTAACACATGCCGTTCCTGAAGCCGGCGTCGTCTACTTTGCATTGGATTGACTAGTTGCCCCAGTTCGAGGCTATGTTCTACCTTTCCGGGTAGCTACATGCGCGTAAGAATTGAGTACCATCGAACCAATCATCAGCGCATAGGGCGTTATGTCTAGCCCTATAGCTACCTGTCATATTAGATGGAAAAGCGACTGAGCTGCTTACCTTCAACTGATTGATTGACATATGGATGCCTTTGTGTTTCCTTGATAGTTAATGCAAGTCGTAGGCTACACTTTTGCCATCAGCTCGAGATGCGGGTCTGGATGCAAAGCAGCATCATTACCGATAGCTGGCTGACCTGCATTGCCGTAATACGGACTCACAAGTGGGACATTGCATTCGCCACATGGGGTAGTATCAATTTTCACTAGTATCGGCCTTATGTGATTTGGATTCCAACAGTTCTTGTTATATTCGAATGTTGTCCAAGGAGGGTATTTTATAGATGCCTACCTAGGACTTGAGAAGCATAAATATCATTTGATTTTGTTTGGGATAATTGGATATTATCTGGATGCCTAATCAGGAATGCCGTCTCCCCCGCACGGATCGATAGGCGAGTAGGAGTTGGTTGCGCGTCGAGGCCTGACGATCACCTGCACAGCCTTGTAGGGAAGAATCTTACAGAAGCAAAAAGTGATTGATCCCACCCTCAATCCAAACCTCCTTTTTTGAGTGGGCGAGGTAGGTAGTGAACAGGTTGAGTCAACGGGCTCTTGGTATTAAACAAGGAATTTCGACCATAATCTGCAGCATCACCATGTCACGTTCTCACCAACGTACAGAGTCCGATCCTGTGACCCCGCACGCGTCGGCGGATTTTGACATCGACAATGTTAAAAGCCTCACCTCGAGCATGATTAGGCCGCAGAATCAGGCATCTCATCCACCTCCGGAACCAAGCGACGATTCTTCTCCCTACCCCGAAGACCAGGAACCGCTCCTCGGCCATCCTGACAGGCACGATTCCACCAACCCAAGAACTCGCACAGTTAAGTATAGTCGGAAGAGAAGCTGTGCTTGTGGCTTGCCGATCATCGTCTTCTGCCGCCTCTTCAATACCATATTCGCGGCGTGCACCATAGACAAGGCGAACAAGGACGTCGGCGATGGGTGGAATATTCGTATGCATAAGCTTCTGTTCGACTTCTGCTGGATCATCCTGGTCTGGAACATTTTCGCGTTCCTGGTGAGTGTCGTCTGTTGCACGCTCCTCCCGGTCATCGAACGCGAAAAGGAGGGATCCGGAACGGAGAGGGATCTCCGGGATAAGATACGTTCGCAGTTCGCTTGCAACGATGCAGTCTTAGGGGTTATCACGCTGGTTCTCCTGGTTATCGCGTGCCATGGCATAGATCCGAGCTGGGAGGGAAAGTTTGTGGGCTTGGCGCCGCCGGTTGTGGCGATGGTGGCTTCTCTTGTGTAAGTTTCCCTCTACATGTTGCCGCCAATGAGCTTAGATAAGCCAACGCGACGAATCTCACACTTGTTCTAGATCCGCCGAGTTACTTGTTGCTATAATTCAGCCATTTCGATTTTCCGACAACATGCTGTTTTCCATGTCTGCGTATTCCGTAATCAGTCAATATCGTACAGTGGTATCCTGAACTAAAATATTTCGACGTGGGTGAGATGGGCGAGGCTTACGAAGTAATAGAGTGAAGCAATTTGAGTTTGCGCATAATTGAGGATGGTCGAAGTATGGAGCAGGCTATTTAGATGTTTACAGCTGACCGAAGCAACAAGACACGAGACTTATCCCTTGATCTAATGAACCATTTTATGGTCATACATGACATAATTCCGAAGATGTAAGACATTATAATCAGAGACTGACCTAGGCAAATATATGTCCATATGGTAAATAGTCTCAGACAACCAATCATGACTCGTGTATTGCACTTAACTTGGCTTATGATTGGTTTTAGCTCATATCTTGCACTTGAGCACTTGAGCACATATGGACACGTACTGAAAGATTCATGATTCCTTTACGAAATACAGGACCATAAATAAAGTGGAAAGTAGGTAAGTAATTGACATACCCCTTTCCCCCGGCGAAACCGGCAGAAGAAATCATTTTAGAGCAATTACTATAAATATTAAAGTTTAATCTAACAATTAGGTACATAGGTACCCCTATTGCACAGGCCAAAATAAAGTATGTGCCTAAAGCTATTTTCAGCTCAATCCATGGACGCGACGATTTCGATGACATCATCTTAATGAGACGTCCCAAGATGGATGAATAATTGTAATACCATACACTCCAGGGCTCCTACACACCCCAAACATCACAGCTTCAGCAATCACCGACTCGGCTGCTCGGTCTGCTACTCGGAGTCAGGTGCCGAACTGTACTTAACGAGGTACCTACTTTGTTTAGGTACAGTACTTGGCAAGACGCAGGTCGTATAACATGGATACTTGAAGCAATTGAGTTGTAGTATTCCGGACTCGTGGTTAGATGATTGGCCCATGCAAGACAAGCCTTCTCTAGTTATACCATCCATGGATACATTAATCCGCATGAGACATTAGCGCACATCTCTGTCTATAACGTGATGCAAGCGCTTACCGTTAGTGGGAGACGATGTTAGTCTACAGTCCAATGAATGTGGCTCATGCCGTTCCAATATACACACAGCCCAAAGTCTTTAGATCTCGACTATAATATGCCTCAGGGTCTATCGAACTCAAGGAAGATAGTGAATATTCCAGTTCGTAATAGCATTGGTTAAAACAAGTTCGTAACCTTGAAATTCGAGTTTGACTCCGCAATCTCCGAATTGATGGAACACTAAAAGAACGAACTTGTGGAACAGGAACAGTAACGCACGTAAAGTACGCGGTAACATCCATAAACGCTTAACATACCCGGGTTCCAACTTCCAATCTCTATATACATGTACCTTGTATTGATATACCAGACTCGGGAAGATTACAGAGTTCAGGCGTTCAATGTTTCTATCACATAAGGTTCAGTAGGTCAGATGTCTATCCGTGTTATCCAGGTACGTAGCAAGGTACCGGCACTCTAGTACCCCTTATCCGTGTCTGTCCGTCCTTATCGATCGCACTAAAGTCACCCACCCATTCATTAATGCAACCTTGGCCTGCTTAAGGACCTACCAAAACTTACCAAAAGACAACCTACCCACCTTCGAGACCCTCTATTCTTCTATTTAACATAGTAAATTCCGCCTTATTACAACCTACATAGACACTAAGGTACAGGATACACGACACCGGAATCGACAAACAATTATCATCGTCATCTTGTTATCTCATTCAAAATCATTAGACGTAAATCGAGAGCTGGTCATCCCGGCTGGGGTAACTCAGCCGCCTTTGGGGGTTTTTATTGTGTCGCATTTAGTGCTCTGGTTATCATTTGGTATCGTCCGTCTGTTGTCTGTTGTCTGTTCGAGTAGAAACCTTTCGATTCTCGTATCGCCATCCCTTACCGAATCGTCATCATGTCTACGAACCCTCCGCCAAGTGTCCATGTCAACGAAGATATCCCTCAGAATGAAGGATCAAAACTCAAGACCTTCATCTCCATCTTACGGAAGTAAGTCACATACGAAAATCGTAGTCGAAGGCGACGTGTATCTCACCGCCAGCATCCATCTTCGTCCGGAATCGGAGTTACTCCCACAACATAAAGATGCTTCTCCTGACATACACCGATACCTTCTTCTACTCCATCATGATAGCATCGAGTACCGTCACTAATATTTCCTGATCCTTAGATTCATAGGTGTCGCAGATCTTGCGGCCGTGCGTTTCTCTCTCCCATCCCAGCTCCTCGAACCGACTCCCAACCTAGAATATTGGAACTACCTCGACAATCCCAGCGCATTTGCCGCAATAGGCACTTCCGACGAGCCTCTAGATCGTATGCTCGAAGTTTTACGTTTCTGGTTTACCAAGGACCTCAAATATGTTAAGGGGAAGCCGTGCAAACCCTATAACTCCTGCCTAGGAGAATTCTTCCGGTGTAATTGGGAAGCTGAGGATAATGCACCGCGAATCGACACCAAGAGTTTGACAAATTCTAGTAGCGGAAATGCCAGCAGCTCGTCCTCCGTCAAGTCGAGTAAGAATAACGGCGTTGACCCGAAAGCGGCATCTACCGTATCCGTCGTACAGACTGCCACAGCCCCCACCGGTCCTACCGTTAGGATATCATACTTAACCGAACAAACCTCCCATCACCCTCCCGTCAGTGCCTTCTATGTCAGCTGTCCCGAAAAAGGGTTGCACGCGAGGGGGTTCGATCAGATTAGTGCTAAATTCACTGGTACCGCTATTAAAGTGTCCCCGGGAGAGCATAATCTTGGAATTTTCATCACCCTCGAACGAAGGGATAACGAGACATACCAGCTAAAGCACCCTGCCGCACATCTTGGTGGAATCCTGCGTGGTGCTTTGAGCGTCAGCGTTGGCGACAGTGCTTATGTTACCTGCCCTCGAACGAAATTAAAAGCGATCCTACACTATATCGAGGATGGTTGGCTTGGCCGGGCACAAAATAAGGTCGAGGGTGTCATTTTCAAGTATGATCCAGAGAAGGACGACAAGATCCGCATCAAGGATGTGCCCGACTCGGATGTTGTGGCAAGGCTCGGTGGTGCATGGAAAGATAGAGTCGTGTTTACTCTAGGTCCGAAACCATTGGTAAGTCAACTCCATGCCGTATATCTATTTCAGCGTAGTATTAACCATCTGTACTTTAGGACTCTCACCCACCAGACAAGCAAACTACTATAATTGATCTTAACCCTCTTACTGTAGCTCCCAAAGCGATACCACCGAAGGAGAAACAAGCAGAGAACGAGTCCTTGACCCTATGGGATGGTGTAACTCAAGCTATAATGTCGAAACAATTCTCAAAGGCCACTAATGTCAAGATAGAGCTCGAAGAAAAGCAACGACAGAAGGCTAGGGATCGTGAGCAGAAGAATGAAACTTGGAAACCCATCTTCTTCGACCAAGTCACCGACAAACGAGGCACTCCTGACCTTACAGATAAGGGCCGCCAAGTACTCGATAGGGCGCAAAAGGGTGATTGGAATTTAGAGGGTATCATTTAGAACGGGGTCAACAGGTCTATACTCGATTCGTCATCGCCCAGGTATAGAAACACTCGCTGGGCACAATTATCACCATCACCACTACCACCACCACAACCATAACCATCCTACATCAACCACATCACACACAATCATTGGTTTGCGATACATGATGCTTTTTTGAATGGATTCACTCGCATATATACGCACATACATACACCGAGCATGGGGGATTAGGCATAACAGCTTTGGTTTTCAGAAGCCGTACGTGGAGTTCTGCGCATTCATCCGATGCCTGATTGTTTTGCCTCTTGCTTGTTTCACCGGTAGACACAGATTTACAGTTTTCAGAGGGCGTTCTAGGGGCATGTAGAAGATGATAGATAGGTCTTCTCTTAGCAGCTGTCCATCAAGACATTCTTATTATTATTAGGCTTGGCCATTTAGGGGTCTTTCGTTTGATATAATATGGGTTCTGGACCTGCTAATATACTACTACTATGCGTGTCTTTCACGTGTAAAAAATCTTCCCTGTATGCCAACCTTAGGTATACATCTGCACATCTGCGAATGTTCTCGGTGAGATATGGCTAACTAGGTACCCACCCATCATCATGATTCCTTCGAAGTTCGTGGATTGCTGATCAGGAGTTAGTAGATTCATACATACATCCGAAAAGTCATTTACACAGAGCATCACACATAATACCATAATTACTTAATCATTCATTCATTTCATCTCATTGGATCACGCCCAGGCTAATTACCTATTTAGGCATCCACATCTCCAACCAACACCAACACAAACCTCCAAGCTACCTAACTAACTCCTCTTATCCCCGATCTCCTATCCCCTATCCCCTAACCTCACCTTCAAAAATCCGTACTCAGAGCCACATCCTCCTGCACCGCCAAGTCGGCCAAGAACCTATCATTGTTCCTCCTCATCCGCTCCCACGAGTCCCGTCCAATCACCAATCTCAACACCTTCCCCTTCAACTTCCCCGCCAGCCCTTCCCCCGTCACCGCCTCGTAGATCCGGTCCACCCCCTTCCCCGGGTCCCCGATCTGCTTCCCGGAACTCCCGCTGTAGTGCGCCCGCATCTTGTCCACCGTCGTGCCTTCGTAGCCCGAGGGCAGCGCCGCTGAGGGCGCTTGGTACGCCGAGAGGAAGTTGGTCCGGAAGGCGCCCGGCTCGACTATTAGCACGGATATGTTGAACGGGGATACTTCCCCCGCGAGAGACTCGGACATTGCCTCCAGCGCCCCTTTGCTTGCGGCGTAGAGCCCGGATGTCGGTTGTGGGTCTTTGCACGCGATGCTGCTGAGGTTCACGATTGTCCCGCTGCGCCGCGCGCGCATGCCTGGGAGCGCGGCTTGTAGCACGTATAGCGGCCCGAAGAAGTTCGTTTGCAGCTGGGCTTGGGCTTCTTGTTCGCTGGGGTTGTGTTAGGGTCTCGTATCTAAAATTGGGGGTTTAAGACATGGAGGGGGTGGCTTACGTGGCTTGCTCGACGGCGCCGAGGACGAAGAAGCCGGCGTTGTTGATCAGGTAGTCGATTTGGCCGACGGCTTTGATCTTCTTGTCGATGCTGGCTTTCGACTCCGTCATGTCCAGCTCGATGACTTGCCCGCCGGCGTCCTCGATCTGCTTTACTGCGTCTGCGGACTTGGTTTTGTTCCGGACGGAGCTGACGACGCGGTGGCCTGCTTTGAGGGCTTTGAGACTTAGGATTAGGCCGAAGCCGTTGGAGGCGCCGGTGATGAACCACACAGGAGACGACATTTTGGTAGTTGGTGGGGGGTGTCTTGCGTGGTTTTGGTAATGATTTATGTCGAGAAAGAGAAATGAGAGGGTGCAAGGGAAATAACGTCACTCAGTTTGGCATCTCGAGTATGCGAATCTGCCGTTGGTTATGTAGTAGATGGAGATGCATACAAGGTGGTAAAAGCCGATGACGGTATGTATATCTCCGATGGAGTTAACATCGACCATATGCGTAATTACGTGGTTAAGTTAATGAAACATACTCACTAGCCTAGATTAAGCATATATGATGCTCATTACGGTCGCGCAAGGCGGCATAGAGGTCGAATGGTGGAAAGAAATGTCATTGATCTGACATCTAATGTGGGGTCCAATTGGTCCAACTTACGAGGATCAACCCGTTCACCATTACCCAGTTCGCATTGGACCCTTCTAATTGATTTGAGTTAAAACAAGAACACGGCACTTAATGAATCAGTCTTTTATTCAGCCATATGTCCAGTAGACTCGGGAAGCACCATCTTCGGTGGTAGTATAGCGCCCGAGGGTATTGCCGACCCACTCGGTGTCTTCATGCCGGAAGATAAGATCGTCCCCAAAGAAGGACTGTATCATGAGGGAAAACAGTTCTCGGATAAAGTGTATGGCCAGGGCCGAACACTTCCTCTCTTGATATATACATTCTGTTCATCATTTTGCTGCGAGGATACCGTGTGGAATTGCGGTTCGGGATTGTCATGTTAGACTCATCAGGGACCGTTATAGTTCGTCCTATGGGAGTCGCAATTGAGGAGGTAGTGAAGAGTTTACGCGACAACAATTAAAGTTGCTCTTCAGGCTTGGCCAAATCATCACGCTTCCCATCGGGATTATGATGTTGATCTCCTATAGTACCTGTGTATTAGCATGAATCTATATACGAAGTATGGAAGCTTAAGAATTCATACATACCACCTTGACCTCTCTCACTTCCTCCTGCTTGATCTATTTTACTAGCTTCCCTGCCGCCTCTTCTATTGCGGCGACGGTTACCACGACGGCCACCGCGACAACCACGGCGGCGTTGCGTCGCCTGGCTTCAGGTTCCGGCATTTTTCCCTATAATTTAAGTTAGTAAGTTGAATCGTGAGGTAGATAGATAGCTATATAAAGGAATAGTCGCGACTTACCGTCGATACGTTTTGTCCCATGTTCTGAGTATGCGCGTTTAGGTTCAGTTGGGGGGCGCACAAAGATGAGAGAATATCGTGAAGTAAGATAAAAAGTAAAAGAGGGAAAATATCAGACGAGCAATGATATATTCAATGTTAAGTACGATGTACCTGTAGAGTTTACCTTCGGAATATATAAGAGGGCAGGTACTACCAAGTACCTTCCTAGTACCTTCGAGTCGTGCCTTCTGCCTAACTGTGCGATTTGCGGTGATCACAAATCACCTACATTTTTAGAGGCAATTGCCGCCGTCCCCTTTTCTTTTATAAACAAACCAACTACATCTATTAACACGTTGGAACTCAAGGAGCCCATCGCCATTAGTCTAATCCTCGGGTGGATAGACTATTATTTTATCAAGGTCTGCCCCCTTATAATGAAACCCATTATACAGTCCGCCCACTGTGATGGTATTGCTTGATCCCTTCGCCAGTGTCAACTGGAGCGGCGTCGATAGAATGATGCCCTTATGCGTATCCCTCTGGAATAACGACTCAACATTCTCTGTGTTTCCATTTACGACAACGCTGCTAATACGACGGAGTTGCCATGATCCACCTATTCGGTCAGGGCTTCCACCAGCTGTCAGGGGTAATTGGTTAGCAATTGAATAGCCAGGAGGAATCGATCCAGTTAGACTTACGTTGGTCCCCGAAGCCCATATCATCAGTGTCTTTGCGCTGTCAGAACAAAAATACCAGAATCGCTTGTACGGACTACTCACTCTGATAATAGAAAGAAACCCATTGAGGCTTGCCCGTTCCCTTTATACCATTGAAGGTCACGGTGCTATCATTCCCCTCAATCCCCGTTACTATAGTACCACCACTAGCGAAATTCTACCAAGCATGTTACGTTAGCGACGTGACGCCTGTTTTCAGATTGAGCAGAACATACCGCTTCTTGCTTGAATGCGGATCCGCTGACCGTCGCATCTTTCGCGTAATACTCTTTGCCCTTCACAGGGCGCCAATCTGCCGTTTTCCTATATCAAGATTCTTGTTAGCATTTACCCGCAGAGAAATACTTACGATATGCAGGAATTAGGAGCACCTACACGTCTAGGTCATATACATCATGCCATTCCACTTCAAGCGTTTTCTTGTTGTCATCGATTATCATGGGCAACCAGATGTACCGACTTTCCCAGATGGAGTTCGAATCCCACTGGTCACCCAGATAAAGGTACGTCGTCTTCCCTCGGCCATTTATCCTTAGTGTGAAGCCAGACTGGGAGTTGAAAGTCCTGGTATTGAGCGGGGCAACGATCCAAGGCTGGCTCCACGGGCCACTCAAGCTGTCCGCACGGAAGCAAACGACATCTAAGAAGCACCATCAGTAAGATGCAGTCATGTATTTTGATAAGCACTTTACTTACTGTTCGGCCTATATCCAGTTTTATGACTCATCAGAGCATAATAACTCTTGTCTGTCTGGATGATGGTCGGTGCTTCGAGGTCGTACTTGTCAAAACGATGGACGACCTCGTCAAGGGCTGCGACTTGTTTATCGTATGAAGTGATATACACGTCTCTCCCACGGACGCTATCGCCGTTAGAATATAGAGCATACGATCGACCGTCCTTATAGTCAGTAAAGAGGCCAAAGTCCTGCGACCAGTTTCCTAGAGGAGCCGTAGCGTTCTCAAAGGTATAAGGCCCGGCGATTGTATCCGCCGTTGCGAAGCCTTGAAGGAGGAGGCCATAGCTAGAGTTATCGGCGTGCCACCACATCTATTGGCACGCGTTAACTTCAATGTACAGAAGATTAGACAACTAAGGGGGGCGCACATGATATCTTCCCGTCGACTCGCTTTTCACGACTTTCGGCCGCTGAATGATATTCTTGGGAGAAATATAAGGGTCCCCTTGAACTGGCTCTATTTTATTGGTTAGCACGTTGACTCCGATCGTTGATATTTTCTCCAATTAAATATCCTTACCTAGAGCAAGACCATGGGGTGTCCACGTAGCGAGATCCGGGGAGCTGTAGACGGATACACCACCACCTTCTGCCTGTCCCTGAGTCTTATACTCCCCGAACCACCAGAACGTCCCATTGTCGAAGAGGACACTGCCTGCGTGAGCATTAACTAGACTTCCGTCAGTTGCGCGCCACCGAGCTCCAGGTACGATGTACTTTGCCTGTGCTGCAGCTGCACTGAGCAGCAACAAGCCGGCTGAGAGCCGCAATTTCAGACCGAGCATGATTTATTCTCACTCTTACTCTCACGACGCGTACACGACACGGGCCTGAACATCTCGGTGTGTACCACGCTCACGACCCGAGGTTTATAAGGTACCAGCCAAGAAAGGCTCGTCGGGGTAATTTCTCCGCACTCGCTCTATCAGTCCCCGTTAAATTCGACTTTTTGGGCTGGGGTAAGAAGGGTTCTCCAATTCCAAGGCTTGGCAACTAAATTAGACCACTTAATAGACGTTTTATTACCGTATTAGGTCACAAGACGTGCGAATTAGACCATCGGATTCCTCGTTCTAGACTATGTAGGATTTAGCGGGTCATCCATCGTCCCCATCGTCAAGAAGACCTCGCTCTCTGTCATTCCGTGTGCATCGGTCGTGACGATAAACCTTATTCAGACTTAAGCTGTTGCTCGATCGCGCCGACATCTATCGTGGCTTGTCCCGTTCTTATCATTTCTACATCGGGAACAGAGGAGTGCTTCTCGCCGTCGAAAATCGCATCTATTTCCTCCAATGTGCGACCCTTCGTCTCGATCCAAAAGACAATCTTCAGGGCAGAGTTAGTAACGCGAAATTATTAAGGGATGTGGTTACGCACGATGAGTCCCAAGACAATAATATCCCATGATCCATTAATCATGTACATCCTCCATCCGATATTGGTCAAACCGATAGGCATGACGTACACCAACACGCATCTATCAAATCTAATTAGCATTCAAGGAACACTCATAACCTCAAGTTTATAATGCATACGCGAGCAGGTTCAATGATAGAGCTGAGAAAGCCAAGCCATTAGCTCGAATCGAATACTGTCATGTACGATTAGCAATCCTTGTTCGAAACCTCTTCTATCAGAAGAGCAAGATTCAGAGGACGAACTGTAAAAATGTTAGTCTATGCCACAGTATCAATTCAGGGCAAGGTCTTCACATACCCGAGAATACTTCCGGCGGATATAAGTACAATAAAGGAGTCCAGGCGAGCGAGTATGCACCTTGGAAAAGGAAGATGACGGCCACGTTCCCGTATACAAGACTTGTAGAGGCACCCGACGGGTTGTCTCCATAGATCTTGGTTAGACCTCCAATTACGAATAAGAATATGATCAGAAGAGTCTGGGATACGATCGCTGTGGGTTTCCTGCCAGCCGTGCCGGAAAGGTACGATCCTCCCAGAGCACATAAAAGACAGAAGACGTTCAGGACGACGTTCTATTTGGTGTCAGAATTGCCTCAATCGATTCTGATTGATAGGGAGAACCACTTACGGCCTTAAGTTGGTCATTTGTATCAGTAATCCCCGCCATCGTCAATTCATTATTGAGATAATAAGACGCAATGATGTTGCCGGCGATACAAGAGAAAGGTCCGGCCGACGCTCCGATGAGTAGACGCTTCCTCGCTGTTGGAGTTTTAAAGATCTCCTTCGGGCTCATCGTCCGGCCTTCTTTCTTCTCCCAGTCGAGTGCGTCAACGATCTCCTTATATATGGCGACTGAAACAGGGTCCAGAGTATCGCCATTGGAGTTAGTTTGAGCAACCGATGTTCGCGCATATTCGAAGTGTCCCTTGTGAACTAGCCACCTCGGTGATTCGGGGCTGGCCTGAGAGTTAGAACCATGAAAATAGCATTTATCGTAGGAGCTGGAGCTTACACGAAAGGCAATATGATGATACAAAGTATGGAAAATATTCCTTGGATCAGAGATGGTGCCCTCCACGCCCACTGAAACTTTGTCAGCCCTACGAACTTTTGGGTCCACAAATACCGCCGATCTTACTGTTGACTGCCACTGTCCGGTTCCAAGAGTTACTCCGGCAGCGATAAGGGCGCCCACGCTAGAAACCAGTCAGTTTCCAAAGCAGCAGGAATCTTCACTATTTCCAGCCCACTACCTACTAATAGAAATCATTCAATAGTCCGACACCCCAAGTACGCCACCGACTGGGAAATGTTTCGGATAAGTACACGCCAGATGAGACACCGGACATAGCGCTTCCAAGACCAAGGACAATACGGGCAACGACAAACATGGCGATGTTCTGCGCGGATGTCTGGAGCGCAACACCGATTAGTGCGAAGATTGAGGCCAAGAAGATAGTTGGGCGACGACCCAACGTATCGGTCAAAACGCCTGCAACGAGAGTTCCGAGAGTAGAACCAATGAAAACGGATGCCGTATTCAACCCAGTCGTGGCCGGAGTCAATTGAAAATAGTCCGTGTAGCTGGGCAGAATATTCAACCCGTTAAGCATGGAGCCATCATATCCGTTAGTCTTTTCGCAAGGGATATCAGCGACGGATATTCATTGCATTTACAGCTAGGGATGATGATGCTTACAGCTGACTGCACAGTTGAGCAGACCACCAACAAGAACGAAAGAGTCAATGTTGACTCCGGCACCCAGGCTGGGAGCCATGTTCCAGTTGGTGTTCGTTTCAACATCGCGTAGATTGATCCCTCTTCGAACAAATCGCACAGTCTCTCGAATGAGACAATTGCACAGAGGATCTACAGGAAAATATGCGGAAAAGCCACAGCGGAATGTCGCCGTTTTATTATCTTACATACATAGATCGTATAACCAATCCATGATCAGATAGCGGTGTACACTGTAAGCAAACAGTCCAGGGATCTAATAGATAAGAACCGTCACATTGAACCGATCTGCAATTTTCGTCTGCCCTCTTCGGCTTGGGAAGGATTTAAGCCGTGCAAAAGCTGAGAGATGGAAATGGATGGAGGGTTCATCCTCTCAACGTTACACCCGTCGCCTGCATGAAATACCCCAACATGAACCTACTTGGAGGGGACAGTCATGTGATAGATAGGAAAAGCGATAAGGGGGACTGGAGCTGAATAAGAAAGCCACCAAGCCACCCCCTTATCAAGCAAGCCACAAATTGCTTTTTTTATATCATCTTGCATCAATGATCGCGAGTCCCAAATTCCATTTTATTTATCACACTCATATATATACATGTAAAAAATCCAAAATATCTGACCTATACCGTTAGTAACCATCTATACCGTTTTGTGAAGCTAGCCGTTAAAAATCAGAACGCGGAACACCGCATATCGCACCATGTAGAACGCTATGCGGAACGCTACATCACATCACACAGTTGTCTCATCTTTCGCTGCCGGTGGCGCATCCGCAGCACTTGGCCCAGCAACGCCTTTCTCCAAGTCTTCCGCCCCCGTTTTACCCCCAACTTTCACCGATGTCGACTTTCCCGCATTTTCTGCGCGTCTCGCTTTCCTTCTTTGCGCCTTCTCGGCTCGAAGCTCGTTCTTCTCCTGGTCTTCCCTCATCTGTCGGATAATCGGGCTCTTCGCGCGGATTCTCTCGCCGTAGCGGTAGAAGACGAGGGGAATTGGGATCATCGCTGCTTCTAATAGCCCGAGAAGCGTGCCGGCCCATTGTGGTGAGAGGGTCGAGTACATGGAAGGGCCGGCTAGAGGGAGGGTGGCACCGAAAATAGAACGCGTGACTGCATTCCCTGCTAACGCCGAAGCGGCGTAAATTCCATAGGCGCCGGCTAGGTAGTTAGAGCCGTATATAAAGCTAAGAGCATTTCCGCATCCAAAAGGGATGCCGAAGGCGATGGGGACCGCCCAATGAATCGTCCCGGGGAGACATGTCCAGCTGAAAACGAGCTGGCCTACGGGGACTAAGATACTTCCGATAATCATTACACGCGCGGTTGCTTCTGGGGGCACCCTGCCGGTTAAGGGGTCTTTCGGGTGCGAGTTGATGATCTTGCGCCAGAAAGGCTCGCCGAGAATCGCGATCATGGATCCGACTCCTATACCGACGAATGCTAGCCCAGAGATACCCGGGCTCCAGCCGCGATGCTGGGAGAATACGATGGGATAGGCGACGAAGCATAAGTAGAGGATTCCGTATATGAGAGAAATCCTGTGTGAAGAGTTAGCAAAGAATATCCTTAATTGGTAGCTTGAAGAAACATACCAGACGTTGAAGAACCACAGGATGGGCTCTGTGAAGGACAACGCAAACGGGCGCAGCATGCTAACTTTTACCAGCGCGGCCGTGGACAGCTTCACATCGTAGCGACACCACCATCGCTCATCGTCGGTTTCCTTGCGTAAGCGCGCCGTCTTCGCTTTAAGAATCATCGGCGCGTAAGTTTCCTTGGGGAATAGCATGGTCGCTGTGCCGACACCGGCTAGGATTAGGACGAGCCAGTTGTCCCATCGCCAGCCGAGGTATTGGTATACGAATCCGCCAATTACTGGTCCGCTTCGTAATCATGAGAGTTAGTATCAATGATATGGTCCTTGGGGGCGGTTGGTGTAACATACGTGACAGGCCCATTCAAAGGTGCGATTGACCACAGGCTTAGGATCATGGCACTGGTTAGGAGCTGTGTTAGCTGACATTCATTTCTAAGATGTGTCCGGCGTCGATAACAAATTCCACATACTGACTCATTGTTAGCTGCCATCATATCATAGCTCAGAGGGATTACATGACTCACCCGAGTTTGTTCAGTTGATATATCGACGACTGTACCTGCGCTATTGGTAACCATGCAAGCACCGAACATTGCCCTGCAGCGTTGTTAGTAATGATGTATAGCACAGGTAATTGATTCTATCAATAACTTACCCAAAGAATCTAACCACTATGATTTCGGTCAACGACGTCGCTACGCAACATGGTATAATCAGAATTGTGAAGCATATCATGCAGCCAATGTACACGGGTCGGCGACCATACAGCTCGCTCACCGGCGCGACGAGCAGACTACCCGCCGCAAGGCCGAGTAGGTAAGTGGTGATGCCAAGCGTCGCGACTGTGGTGGAAACACCAAACTCCTCCACCAGGCCAGGTATGGCGGCACTATAGCTAGTACTATAGAATACGACGACCCAGGAAGTAAACGAGATAGAGAAGACGATCAAACCCCTGTACCATGACGGCCAATTCCGTGGATTTTCCGGGTCGTCCTCATCAAACACGACCTCGAAATCCGGCGGACGCGACGCCGAGCTCCCGATACTAGTAGTGGTTTGTATGCGAGCAACTTCTTCGAATGTTTCCTGGCCAGGCGAAAGCGCCAATTCAAGTGGCGATAAAGGATCGCTGTCGTCGGAAGCATTTGACGCGCGGCTTTGACAGCTACGCCGGCGCGGACTCTTTTCTTTCTCAAGAGAGCCCTCGCGCGAGGTCATATCGCGGGCCTCTATCGGACCGGACTCTCCTTTATCCTTGCCAAGCCCTTTCTCCGGATCCATTATGTCCGTTCGTAGGCCTTGGTTACCCGCGGGGACGGCTCACGGGACCTCTCAACGGCTCCCGCGTAGGTATTTGGAGAAGCTAGAATGAACCCAATTCGGAACTTTTAATCCCAGGTAAACTAGACAATTCCGGAAAATGCGATGCTTGTAATAATAATTGTCAAATAAGGCTCGAATCTGCTTTTCTCAAAGCAGGTTTCAGACCGAAATGAAGCTTTCATGGCAATATGTTGAGTCGGAAGAGTCAGCATGGTGCAAAAAAATAATTTACAAATAATGGTCATAAACTCCTATCACCGCACTAAGGTCGCTCTGGGTAATGGACAGGGCGATTTTGCCTAGGCAATTAGGTGCCCATGCACACAGCCTGCGCGGCATTGATTAGGAAGCAGAGAAGCTCTGGAGAGACGGTAGATTGCGACGGTAGCTAACTACCCCTGGCAGGTTTTGCAGTTGGAGAGGTGAGACCGTGAGAGAGTTATCAAAAATTACTACAAAACCGGCGGGATCGTGTCGTCTCATTGGTTCCCGGCTTCGTTATAGGTCTATCATTTTACGATCAACCTTGCAAAGCACGAGCGTAGCTGCTAGCTTCATCAGATTGGGCGGCAGATCGTGGGCATGCGGGAGAATCCCCATTCACCTTTCGGTGCCCCCAATCCCTGCAAGCAAGCCTTGGATGCTACAGTACGCATACTGCTACTGCTATTCCTCGCGAAGAATGGCCGCGCGAGAACTAGCCGAAAAGCGCGAGCCGATCCCGGGAAGCACTTATCTCCGTGTTATTAACCTTTCGTTTGTCATGAAATCAATTTTCGCCGGTGGTATTTTTTCTTCTTTCAGCAGCTCCTGTCAGGACTCTTTGTGAAAATGCATCACAAGGTCTAGGTATTCGTCCATGGACTTTTTCTAGAATCCAACATTGGCTATAGGCTAAAAGGCTATCAACAAAGCTATACGTAATGTCATCTTATCTTTATAGGTACGCTAACGCTTCAACGGGAAGGTCCTCGGGAAGCTCCACGGAAACACAAATAGTGGGAAACGCCTGGGACTCGCGACGAGGACCGAGATCTTATGTGCTTCGCGTCCAAAAGATTCATTACCGTTTTTCGCTTCGTCGAGAAATCCTTTTCTTCGGAAATGAAAAAGCGCTAGGGGTTGAATATCCCGAAAATTATTAGGAATTGTATTGCTCGCCAAAGAAGAAGCAATGGAGTGTCATCCTTGTCATAACTAAACCGAAAAGCGCCGTCAGCTAGGACTTCCACGATCAATTCGCCGAGGTTTTGGAATGTGCCACGGAGAATCAGACGATTTGAATCTGAAGATTTGAAATGATGCGATGCTAATAGCAATATCAAGGCTGGTGTATTACTCGAAAATCCTGGTTTTCCGAACGACGGCAAGATTCATGATTTATGCCCAGGGTAAGACATTCGTAGAGGTTGTGATGAAACATCCCGAAGTCCATATCGCATTTTTATCTGTTACAACCAAATGAGTTCTCTATAATAAGACTTGAATTGTTCATTACCTGACAGGCTGACTCATAAGCCTCAAGTTCCTAGCCATCTTCAGTCTCACATACGCTTTCCAAGATTTACTTTTTGTGTAACCCTACACCAAGTTTACTTTCGTATTTAGTATAAAGTCGTCGCACGAGAGGAATATAAGTTTCGCGTTACTATCAAAATTTCGTTAACAGCTATTGGCTGGAAGGACATGCAACAAGCTATACTGGCCGATCAAACAAGATTCAAGGCAACTAAATGCGTGAAGGAATAACATTAGCATGGTGTGCAACTCAAAGCGTTTAACAAGAGAGCCCTATAATCTTACGAGAATAGGTGTCTCATGCCGATAGATTCATCAGTTGCAAGTAATAGAATTCAAAGCCTCAAAGCTTCGGGAAGAATATCAGCGAAACAGTATAGTTCTACTCATAACTACCTACATACGCATGACTAACTACCTATCTTTGATCGACATCAGATTCATGTTCAACGTTGGTAGCGCTTGATCGATAGGCTTAAATTGTGAGATGATGATTGGATTCTCATACCGTTAGTACAACGGTCAGCCAAAATCTTCAGCCAGCCTTCTGTCGTATTTCGCGTTCAGAAGATCTGGTGACCGACACCCAAAACAGGACATGCTGGTCTTCTAGGAGAAGGGCTGCCCAATAAAGGATGTTTATAGACCTACCTTAGAAGCAACACAAGAACGCACAGCATTCGACTACCAAGATGGTGATGCTGACCGATCTTTACTCGTTGATCGGGACCGGAACCCCGCATCCGCAGTTCACATCCGATCCATTCGGGAGCATATATGTTACGCTGATTGTCTGGCTGTGGCACATAATATGGTAACGTCATGATGCGTTTCGACCAGTAACAGCGTGCATCTCCCAACCCATGGCTTTCCAGACATGCATATGTAATACATAATGTGCATTCTGATCGGGTACCAAAGTTCGGCATATGTCGGATAGGTTTAGTTAGTTATGTAAGATTCGCAGCGGAATTTGCTTCCGCTGTCCTATCCGAATTGCCGTCCCGAGTTGATGCCTTCCGATAGTTCAACATTTCAACACCATTATTTTCAGGAGATATTGTTGCCTGTCGGATTTAGGCAGAGCAGGCAGAGTTGGTCGATGCTTCATTAATACAGTGTAGATCATGGTTCCAGTGGCAGTAAGATGAGGGCTCGTGTTGATCCCTATTCTATTGTGACTCACGAGACATAGCTGAGGGTCCAAGCACACCATACGATCAACACATTTATCTAGGCGTCTGGTACATAAGCTATATAATTCAATAACTGTGTCCTCTCTATCGAATAGTTATAGTTTTTATGGTAGTTGTCGTTTGTTTTCGCGAATACTTCATACCTATTCATAAATACCTGTTACCTGTTACCTACGGGTTACCAACCAAATACCCTCCTACTTTGGGACCAGAACCGGTGAGAATAAAGCCCCTAATTGTCATTATCGTCCAGACAACGTACATCACTATTAAAGTCGCGTGTCACGCTGTTTTTCTTTCGCGTTCTCTCAGATTAAATAGACAATTGAACAGAATTGTCTCGAATTATTTAGCCAGACAGCCAAAGCAATCGGCAGAGCCGAATAATTGGAGAAGAAGAGAAAGTGAGAACGGGTGGCCTAAAAACGCCCCTTTTGCCCCTGCAAAATAAAGAATGATTGGCTCTCATTAATTCTCATTGGCTCCCAACTTTCAGATCGCGGGGCATTTTTTGGAGTTATGCTATGTGCCACGATAGGAAATGTGTAAACAATGCATATCCAGCATATGGCAGGCAGATCATCCCCACTAGGTGAACCACAGAGATGGTATGCTTGTTTACTTACTTACAGCCCTGAAGGTAACCCAGACGCGACCTTTAAAAGGCATTTACGTGCTTGTAAAACATCCTATTGGACTTACTTGAATTCCACTGCATTCGATGAATAGAGAAACTTTGTAAGCTTACTCACATACTACATACTACATACCATTTTGGTACCTACATTCGTGTCTCGTTAGCTTGTCCTCTTAGGAGGCCAGTAATTATCATAACTACGAGATGGGAGATCAGCAAGATCTTCCCATCGCGCTTCGTCGCACGCCGCGGCTCAGTGTTGGAAGATCAGTTTCTTCGGAGTTATCACGATTGGAAACAGCCGCGACAAGTTTAAGGACCCCAAGTAAACCCAGATCTAAGAAACGAGTCCGATTTTCAGACCCGGGTCCAGAAATCGAACACCACGATGCGGCCTCGACAACGGGACTAACACCCATGGTCCGCCGCACAACTCTAAGCGCTACCCCTTCGTCGAAACGTAGGCGACGCTCAGAACCAATGAGTCGAAAAACTTACCCAGGTAGTGAAATGGGCGAGCAAAGCCATAACAATAATGGAAATGGCAGCAACGAAATACGATTTCTCTCCCTACGCCAAGTTCTCGACGATCGCGTTAAGAGGCGCATACGTCGGAACGGGTTGAGCGAGGAGATGAATACAATTACCCAAGAGAAGCGGCGGCGCACGCAGGATCAGAAAACCGAGTTGGAGCGTCTACAGCAAGAGCTCGCGGAGAAAGACCACGAGATCGAGAGACTGCAGAATACCACCGTGGCTCAAGATACAGAGCGCATCATGGAGCTAGAGTACGAGATCGACTCGCTCAGAAACGAACTACGCAGGAAATCCGTACCTGAACCCAATCCCGACCAGACACAGCGTTACGACTGGACCATGGCCGCAAGGGATCCGTTCTCCGATAGCTACATGGACGACGACGACGGCTTCGGGGACACCACGATGGCGGATCTAGTATGCAGCACCCCATCCAAGAACAACCGCGCATCAGCATCCTTCCCCACGCCACCATGCACCAGCCCCACGATCCCATTCACCCCGTCATCCACGCGGAGAGACGACCCCGTAACACCGCAATTCCACAGCGGGCCCGGGATGCAAACCGACATGGGCGTGCAAACATCCTTCATCTTCCCCTCACCAGACGAGCAAGAAGAGAAACAAGCCCTCGAAGCCGAGCTCGGATCGCTGCGTCTCGAACTCACCAAGCTAACCGAAGTGCTCGAGACCCACGAAGCGCTGAAGTCGCGGCTCGCAGAAAAGCTGACCTGCGCACAACCCCCCTCATCTTCATCTTCAACACCAGTAGAAGCGGGGTCCATGGACGTCGAAGCCCATCTCGACACAGTCCTACAGTCCCTCTCGGACCGCACCGCCGCGCTGCTCGACCTCAACACCTCCCTCAGCGCGCTCGGCTTCCCCGGCTCCGACGCCGGCGAAATGATCGTTGCGCTGACCAGCGCCTTCCGCTCCGCGCGGCTGGAGCTGGAGTACCTGACGCCGGGGGAGCTAACGCTGCCGCTCTCCGCGCACGGCGCGCAGATCCTGGATTTGGTGCTTGTGCGGCTGCGCGAGCTGGCGAAGCAGGTTCGGGAGGACGAGGACGCGATCGACGAGTACCATGCGCTGGAGCTGTCGTTGCGGCAGCAGCTCGGGGCACGGGTCGATGCGATGGATAGTATGCGGCTGAAGCGGGAGGAGGATGTGCGGGAGCGGGACGCGAGGATTGAGGAGTTGGAGGTTGGGGTTGAGAGGATGAAGGGTGCGGCGGAGGGGTATAGACGCGAGGTTAAGGAGTTGGAGGGGTTGGTGGTGAGGATGGAGGAGGAGGGGAAGAGCGAGGCTACGCGGTTGAGTGCTGAGCTTGCGGGGGCGAGGGCGGAGGTGGATTGTGAGAGGGCGGGTGCGAGGAAGTTGGAGGCTAGGTTGGTCGGTGTGAGGGAGCAGGCGGAGGCGTTTAGGATACAGTTGGTGGAGCTGCAGCAGAGACGGACGTGCGAGGTTAAGGCGCTGAATAAGTATCATGGCGCGGCGCTTGCGGTGAGGGATGCGAGGGTGCTGGAGTTGAGGAGGGATATCGAGAGTATGGGGAGGAGTCTGCATGAGGCGCATTTGATGGTGCAGCGGTTGAGGGTTGAGAACTTGGGGTTGAGCGATCGGGTCGATGAGGAGAGGAATAGGGCTACGGCTGCTGTTGACTCGATGAAGGCAGAGCTCGAGAGGGTATTGCGGATGAGTGCGGAGTTTCTCGCTACGCCTGTCAAGGCGAGTGGTAGTAGTCGGAGCGGTTCAGGAAGGAGGAGTGTCGCTGTCGGTTGCAGTGTTGGTGTTGATGCTGCTTCTGGTGGTAGCGGGGAAGAGGTAGAGGCAGAGCCAGAGAGCGAGACTACGACGCCTGAGGGTAGTCCCCTGAGCTCGGGGTCATACCTCGCTGGCGCACTGGCAAAGTCGGCAAAGGGAAAGAAGAAGCGGAAGTATGATAGCGGCTTGGGACTACTCGATGAGGATGAAGATGGTTCCGTTGACCTGGTGTAAAATGCCTCATGATCACACACATCGCGCATCACACGTCGCTCACATATCGCACATGCAGTCATGCATTTCACTGTATCTTCTTTGTACAATCATCCATATCTACCTGCCTAAGTACAGACATCACTTGTTTCTCGTTTATCGTTTATCGTCTAGGCGTTTTGTTTATTGTTTCCTGTTTCCTGTTTCTTGTTTGCTATCTACCGGCGTTGGATCTAGAAGACTGCCGGAACTAATTTGGAGGCAGTCGGCAATGGCGTGTTTGTGATGCTATAGCAGCACCGGATTACTCTTATGGATTGGGCCTAGTCCTCTGTGTTGATACCGCGATGCTAGGCCTCATCAAGGCCTCGCCTATTTTGACGAACGGATTATAACTCCTAGCGCTTAAGCACTGTATATTCACATACATACTACATCTAACTACTGCTAACGACTACTACCTTCACGTCCATATGATGCTACCTCGTTGCCGTGTTGTGACCGAGCAGGTCCGAATGGGGAACCTGCTCACGAGTTGGGACTTGCCAACCTGATTCTAATCCGTCCTCGGGGTAAGAGTTGGTGCACGTTCTGTCCTGAAAGGGATAGGTGATGGGGTCACGATGGCCACGCATTCGCCTAAGACTTCGCAGCCTGCTTTGCCTGCCTGTGCCTGCTCGTGCCTGCTTGTGGCCTCCACTACCCCTTTTTTTCCTCCTTAAGCGACGGCACCTAAGCGACGGCATTCGTACGCAGAGCCGACAGGTTTCGGCAATGACCCCGTCGCCTCCGACTAAAAGATGGGATGAAAATATCATCTATTCGCTCTCACTACGACTCGTGGTATTCCTGCACGTCGAACACGAGAGAGTAATCAATATTGTCATGTCATCTACTGCTCTAATTCCAAGTTTCTCGAAGGAAGTTTCCTAGGGGATCGTCAGGAACGTGGATTTCTAAGCGCCTTGTCATCTATTAGATTGACCCCCTGACGAAGCCGACGATGCTATCACCATGGCCAGGAGTATCCGTAGTAAGGGCGCACACCCATGGCCGTTCCTATAAGCCGGGTCCATGTCGTACATACCTAAATACATGCCTACATACATACATACCTACTAGGTATACATAGACCAAGTTTGTAGGCGTCTGTATCGGTACAAGCGTAGAAGTACAATGCATCGCTGACGACTACGACCTTACTCTGATCCCAAGCTAATAGTCTTACAAGGGCCGAATCTCAATACATATCTGCATACGAACCGGCAAACCAGTAAGCTATATTGTGTATGCGGCGCAAACAAGGCAAAATGCCAGTCGACAACATAGTCGACGACGGCGTGATATCTCGTGTTGGACTACCGAGCGGCTGGCAAGGCTGGGAATAGCATTCAGTTGTGTCGATCTTTCGAGATAATGGTATACTATAACAGGGTTTCCTCGAAAGAAAGTAGCGAACTAAACAGTATCTTGGGACCTGGCAAATCTACGGTTACATCGTACGATCATGCAGGACAGGACCCAGCTTAGCTTCCTTGCTACCCCCAAGCGGTGCAGTCAGACGCACGTGTGAGCAAGAATCCGCAAGAAGACCCTTTCTGCCATTCTTGGGATCAGGCCGGGGTCGCGGAGAAAAAGACGTTGGAGAGCTTCCAGAAAGAAAGGAGAAAAATCAATAGATCGCTATAATGGTAGTCTGTTAAGGCAACTAGAGACAGTTCCGGCAAATATGCCCGGCCCCCATACTACCCAAAGGGCAATGATCGGCAGAGCCGTTGTCGTGGTCGGTGTGGCAGTGCTCTTTAGGCGCCCCGGCGCCCTACGGGATGATGCAAGCGCGCATGAGGAGGGATTCCCGTGCGCAGGAACGCTTTCGTTGGTACAGCGGGATGACGGAATAAGGGTCCAACATACCGTTGAACACGAGGTCTCATGCATTGGCGAGTCGTCGCCCGGTTAATCCCATTTATTTTATTTTATTTTTCTTTTGACCACGACGACGACGACACGACGCCTAAAAGGTGCGAAGGGGGAAAAAAATAAAAAATTTCACTCGAGCGCGCCTAAGCTACGCGACGCGACGGGGGGGATGGGGATCATACTATCGTGACGATAAGGGGTCCCCCCCCCTCCCCGGTGCTCCCCCCATCCCGCGGTCATGGTTATGCTTGAATTTGTCAGACCCTAAACCCTGAGGATCGGTTCGGAACCGCGTGGCCGTTGACGGGTTCCCATGAACCGTTCAAAACAATTCGAGCATTAAACGAACAATAACATCGTAGTTAATGTTCGAGGTAAGCAAAACATCCGTCCCAGGCTCGTGGGTAAGGAAAAAGGCTTGAAAGGGGGAGGCAGTGGAGAGGTCCCGGTGTGTAATCGACCCAAGGATGAGAGTTAGTACTATTGTTTGTATTCTGTACTATGAAAATGTACTATTATCGGGTAGAATGTCGGGAAGGCCCGAAAGGAATTCTCCTTAGGTCTCGACTCTTCAACTATGGGCGAGATGGGTGATCATTGATCAAAGCTAGGGATTCCTACGATCAAAACTGGGGATTTCCTCGCTATCGGGTGCAGCGAAAGAATTTCAATTCTAGATTACGCATAGTACTACCTAAAGACCTAGTAGGCATGTACCTAGACAGCTTAGATAGCCGCCGGAGAACCGCCAAAGGACTCGGCCGTGCGTAACGTTTAGGGGATAGGGGTAGATACTAGAAAGATTGTACGTCGTAGCTGCGATCCTCTGTAGCCAGTAAGCGTTAGCGCTCGATAGCCCTATAAGCAACCCTTATAAAGGCCAGGTATGGTAGGCGGTTCGGCGGCACAGTGCTCTGTATTTTTGTACTTTGCGCTGCAACGCCAAGTTATCCTTGGGTCCTTGCAGAGGGATTTACTACATGGGGGTGTATGGAATGCGACGTAAAATCAATAGTCCGTCCTTCGCATCCGTGGGGCGAGTTGGGGCCAAGGTCGGTTCCGTCTCCTTTCGACGTTTAGAGCTTCAAGGGACCGCTCAAGGGACGTTCAAGGGACGGCGCATCGTCGAAAATCAGCGAGAACTCCTTTCCGGGGTTCGCGCCGGTGCAACCCTCCGAACAGGGCTTCTCGGCCGGGCGGGTAGCTTAACTATCTTTAGACATCGAACCTTGGACGAACCTTGGAAGCTCGATAACCTTGATAACTTTGAATGATATCTCGTAATGGAAGTTACCGAGTAATTGTAATATAGGACTGGGACCCCAAAGGACCTGACAGGGAGGAGGGGAACGTGCTGCCAAGTTTCTTTTTAAAAGCGGGTTCTCTTTCATGCAGAAACCGGAGTTGGCGCCGTCATTGGATATCCCGAAAAATGCTTCTTCTTAGAATAGCTATACAGCCTTGACAGCTATATGCACTATACAGCGGGCGAGGCGAATGAATTAAAGACGACGAGTTTCCCTCGAGGAAATATTTTTGCAGATCTACAGAACGTGCCCCGTCCGGTTATCGACACGAGGTAGATCTGTAGATCTCGTCGATTTTTCCTATTGTCGTTGCCCTATGACATGCTGGCCCGTAGGAAAATTTTAGCCGCATGGCCCTTTCGACGTGAAGTCGCCAATGAGTCGAAGAGGAAGAGGCACCGGGAACACGCGAAAAAAAAGGACGTTGGGTAGATGTGCCTCATTTACACCAATTGCGTTCCTCGACAGGCACGGCGTTGCCCGAGGATAATACATCACCAAATCGTCAGTATGCGGACATAGGGACATCCGACCACCAACCACGATGGGCGGCTGACGAAGCCGCGCTCAAAAGGGAAACGGTAACGGACGGAAGTCGCATTATTACAGTACGCTCGGCCGATGATGTGACCTTGAACCCCGGTACGGATGAGCCAATGTCCCGTTAGGAATTTTAGCACAGAAGTAAGTGAGAAGTAAGTGTGGAGGGTTATGTTGCATTGTAAAGCTTGGCATGCAAAACAGACATAGAATTCGACCGGTGCGTAAGATAATAGCGAAGCAGATAAACCAAACATCGAAAGCACGAAAGTGGCAGAGTGAGTGAGTGGCAGAAATGGTAGAGTGGCTACGGGGACGGGAATCATAGGATGAGCAGCTGACTCCAATCCAATGAGTCGGACAGGTAAGCCACATAAACCCCTTCGAACACGATAATGAGCCGGACATATACATACCTATAGGTACCCGCTGCCTCTGCCTACCTAACCTGCCTACATAGGTACCTACTTACCTACCCAGTTACCGAAGCGATAGCGACAACCTTGGAATGTGGCTAGCATCCTCCACCGAAGTAGCGAAAGGTGTCGAAGCCCGATATAGTTCCGGGTCGTTATAGGCACTAAAGCACTACCACTCGAGCTGAAGATTAGGTATATTAAAGGAATCTTACCTGAGTATAATATGCAGTCATATCCAGATGCTCTTATATATGCTGATCGCATTGGTCGGGGGAGCTTAGACGCGAACCACATTACCCATCAGATGATATCGATATACTGTGGATTTCTCTAGGATTTCTCTAGGATTCCTCCAGAGCACCAGTCGGGATATTTATCTGGCGATGTTAGTGCAGCCTCGCTGCATGGGCCTCATGAAGATAGCGCTGTAGTTTTAGTCATCTAGGAGGTCCCGATCTGCTATTGGGAGAGCCTCTGTTTCATGTAGAGACTAGTCCGATGCAAGACGTCAATCTGGCCTATGCCACGTAGACGATAATCGATTCGTTGACCTTGTAGAGAGTCGAGCTCGTCGCACAACATGCAGACTCCCTGTAAGAAGGGTTACAAGAGCACGGCCGAGGATTGTTCGTGCAGCGAAGCGGTGAAAGCATGATAACCCGGACGAGTCGCGTCGATCCCGAACGAACATGGCCTTAGACTGCCGGGCTCGACGATGATAAAACACAGCTAAGTATGTGAGACAGTGGAGATTCACCCTGTCTTCGAAATCGAACGAGGAGGTCAGAATTGAGGCCGGAAAGAACTATTTTACACATAATCGCGCCACAAGCAAGTAACGCGACGTTACGGAACGACTCCCGGCGACCGTTGAATGTGCCGATATGCACCTTTAGGTGGATACACATGCCCTTAGTGCCTTCACCGCGGGGAAACGAAAGGGACACTTAGAGGCCCAAGCACGGTATGGGTATGCAAGTTCGACTCCCCCCTTATCCCTTCATCTTCAAGCCACATACAGAGAAACGCGACCCAGCGACCCAGTGACTGAGGTTTGACTGGTGGTGACATGGTTTGCTGGGTTGTTTTATCATAATAAAACCTCCCGGAGTATTGCTATTATTATTAGTAGGTCTTGAATTTGCCGGCACTGGCGTTCGGGACATGATGTTTTGTTTTGTTTTTTTCTTCCCTACCTACCAACCTACAGTACCTAGCACCCTCCAAATCAATGCGGCTGTTAAACGGAGGTGAGACCCGAA